GAAGAAACATGGCGGCCATAAAGGGACCTCGACTGTAGTACCATACCGTTTGTAAGGCAACAGGCGACCCCCCGATGGCTCAAGTTGGTATGGCGTTGGTCTTGCCAGCGCTGACAGATTGCCGGTGATGGTTCGAATCCCTGCTGGTCCACTCGGGAGTCTCAAGTGCGACCCGCCGAAAGGCAACGGGCGCCGACCACAAAAAATATCGTTTGTAAGGCAACTAAGTTCTGAAACCCACACAACTAAGTTCCAGACATCACCAACTAAGATCCCTGCTCAACAACTAAGCTTGGAACTAGCGCACAGAAAACTCGAAACGTCCTGGGTTTTAAAAGGTGCCCTCAGATAGATGGATGTTTTATGAGAAACGAATCTCTTTGGCTCCATCTTGTAATCATGATAGGGCAATGGCAACGGAGCAAAAGCACTCAACAAACCATACTTTCTGAGTAACCGCAACTTGGAACTGAGTTCACAACTTCTGCACAAAGTTTTGTTTGAAAACGTTTGTCATTTGGAAACCTTGGTATTTGAAACTGTGTCACGTTTGTCATCATCATCTCATCTCAGTAAGGGGAACTGGTGCCAATGATCTCTCCTCTGGACACGATCTTGACTGCCAGACTTTTGAGTGTTGGGATAAACCCCCAAAGGGAGGGAACGCCCTGTGAACATGCGGTCTCTTGGCGGTTTCTGCAGTCGGATACTTAGTGTACAGTGTGCAGATCGATTTTGAGAATCTACTTCGGTTTTGATTGTATAGACAACTAGTTATTCAGGTTAGGATGAGAACCGGAAGTATTCGTAAACTTTGGGAGTGGATCTTTTGTTTAGTAGCGCACCTTTGGGAACTCGCTTGTCTGTGCGGGTGTGCCCCGTGTGTGTCTCCTTTGTGTTGCGTCCGAGCGAAAAGACTGAGCTGAGCTGGCGTTTGCTCTCACCCACCAACGTGGCCCATTGGTGTGTTTTGTGTTTGTTCTGTTTTGTTTCTTGTTCTGGGCCATTCTTAGAATGACACATAAGATGTCATCATGCATGTAATTCCCATTGCTGGTTGCGATCCCACTTCTCTCTGTCGTTTTTGTTTGGTTTTGGTTTTGGTTGTGTGTTTTTCCTGTTTTTGCTGTGTTGTTTTTGGTTTGCTTTCTTGTTCTCTTTTTCTCTTGCTGGAACAGTTTCTGGACTGCGTACCGGCACTTTTGTGGCTTTCGACAAGGTGACAGCCCTGCATGTAAACTACAATTCAACTGTTTCCCGCGATTGAATGTGTGTAACGACCTGGCGGAAGCCATGAAGGCGTTGGACGGAAAAAAGAGCTGAGCTGGCGTTTGCAATTAGGAGTCGAGGGTTGTAACCTTCTTTTGGTTTTGGTTCGAGGTTTTGATTACCTGAGGCCTTTGGGCTCCAGAGTCTTCTGCAGAGATTCAGAGATGGAGATCGTGGGTGCTCTCGACGCCTCAACCGTGGTTTAACTCTGCACAGATGATGAGTCCACCTGTCTTGATCACTGCAGTGGTGGCTTTCGACAAGTTGACACCCTGCATGTAAATTACAATTCAACTGTTTGCCGCGATTGAATGTGTGTAACGACCTGGCGGAAGCCATGAAGGCGTTGGACGGAAAAAAGAGCTGAGCTGGCGTTTGCACTTAGGAGTCGAGGGTTGTAACCTTCTTTTGGTTTTGGTTCGAGGTTTTGATTACCTGAGGCCTTTGGGCTCCAGAGTCTTCTGCAGAGATTCAGAGATGGAGATCGTGGGTGCTCTCGACGCCTCAACCGTGGTTTAACTCTGCACAGATGATGAGTCCACCTGTCTTGATCACTGCAGTGGTGGCTTTCGACAAGTTGACACCCTGCATGTAAATTACAATTCAACTGTTTGCCGTGATTGAATGTGTGTAACGACCTGGCGGAAGCCATGAAGGCGTTGGACGGAAAAAAGAGCTGAGCTGGCGTTTGCACTTAGGAGTCGAGGGTTGTAACCTTCTTTTGGTTTTGGTTCGAGGTTTTGATTACCTGAGGCCTTTGGGCTCCAGAGTCTTCTGCAGAGATTCAGAGATGGAGATCGTGGGTGCTCTCGACGCCTCAACCGTGGTTTAACTCTGCACAGATGATGAGTCCACCTGTCTTGATCACTGCAGTGGTGGCTTTCGACAAGTTGACACCCTGCATGTAAATTACAATTCAACTGTTTGCCGCGATTGAATGTGTGTAACGACCTGGCGGAAGCCATGAAGGCGTTGGACGGAAAAAAAATGTCTTGATCACTGCAGTGGAGTGGGAGGAGCATCTTTTTGAAATTAGATAGCTCGATGATGTGTTTTACCAGAACTACGCGCAGACAAAGGTGTACGGACCTTCGCTTGAATAGACGATTGGACCAACAAGATCACCCAAATTGAACGAACCAAGAGTGTGCATGGGATTTTACACAACGTGGAGATGACTTTCTTGGAACAAATATTCGACAGTTTTGGGAATTTCACAAAACGACCAAAAAACCTCTTATTGCCTTGAAACAATCTTGGTTGTAAAACAAGGAACCTTCGTATTTGATTGACCGATAAAATCTGTTCATGAAACTTATTGATGAGACATGTCGCTGAATCATTGAACAGATTTTGGAAATGGTCTGAGGGAGTTGGCATGATCCTGAAAACGTCCATAACGTTTGGCTTAAAGACCTTCAACAAAGAAGGCAAACAAGACATCTGAGTCTTGTCAATCCAATTCACTTCATATCTCTTCATCATCAAAGATGTTACATGCAACATGCAATTTGGTATGAACAATTGGATTGTTGGATCATCACATTTCGGACAATCAAATCACCTTTTTGTTTTTCTAGTGGCATGCAATCAAACTGGCTGTTTGGTCTAGTGGCATGATTCTCGCTCAGGGTGCGAGAGGTCCTGAGTTCAATTCCCAGAAAATCGACATCGCCCACAACTTGTGCGCCCCATTCAAGATCAGGGCATGGGCTCTTTGGTTGGAACCTGCGGATGACGACGCACACAACGCTGCAGGAGATGGTCCAGTGACCTCAGGTCCCCATCCAGCCCCAGAAGACGACGGAGAAGCTCAGGGTGATGAAACAAATGAAGAATCTGCTGCAGCTGATGATGCAGATCTTCCCATGGCAACAGAGCCAACAGAGGCTGAAGTGACAATGGGACCTCCTCTCACAGCAGGGCTTCCAGGCACACCTGGATCAGACGGTCCGGCACCTCACCCAGATGCCATGCCCTTTGACATCATCAAGACCTTTCAGAAGTTGCCGCCGCATTTGCAGCGCAATTTCCAGTCCCAGATCTCAGCCGCCATGCAGATTGGTGTCGAGTACTTTCAAATGACTGGACTCAGTGAAGCGGAAGCCTTAAACGAGATGCGGACACAGAGCTGGGCATTTCTTCGTGATATGACCCCGCTGGAAATTCGTCGTGCAAAGAGGCAGCGCTACTATGAGCCGGATGATCCTCCGAAGGGCAAGGGCAAAGGTGCTGCATCCAGTTCGTCCATCGGGTGGTACTAGTGATCATCTACTTCAACGCCCTCCAGGTCACGATCTGACAGAGAGGAATTTTTCCTAAGAGCCGATGTTTTTGGCTACGGCTACAGAGGCCCTTTTTACACGCGATGCAAAGCATCCCTGTTTTTCAAGAACGCCAGACAGGTCAATCTCCATTTCCAACCGTGATGAAAACCGATTCATCCACACTTGCATTCAGAGATTTAACATTTAATCTCTTACACTGTCAGCCAAAACATTTCACATCTGTCCTTCATTCCTTTTCTTTGGCTTTAGTTTTGACATGTCATATGGCCGGTCGCGATGGGGTCCGAAATCTAGGGGGAATGTCCGAACCTCAACAGGACCCAGGGAATGACTGTATACGACATGGAAAGTGGAATGGACAGTGATTTAACAGTGATTCTTTAAATCTGAATGACTGTGGAAGGTAATATAGGAATCAAGTATGTGAACCGTTGTCCGTTCAGGCCGAGGTGGCTTCTGCCGTGACCTCAAATCAGAGACATCCGAGTCGCGAGGTTGATTGAAAACTTTGACAGTCAGATTGAATTGACATCAGAGTCAATTGAACATTTGATCCTATTTCCATTAGGCTGAACTCGAAGGAGTTTGGACCTCAAAGGTTGATTGTCTTTTGATTTAGGGGAACCACAGACACTGTTGTTCTTGTCAGACATCAGAGTCGGTCAGAGCTAGTCTGTATGGTTGTGAGTGATAGTTTGTGGAGGTTGAAGAAGGGCCACCAGAGGCTTGACTCATGTGAACATGAGTGATTTCAGTTCCATCATTTGATGATCCCTTGACACCTGAGTCAAGAGAGTAATTGATGGCTGAGTCGCACCTGGGAGGCAGTAACAGAGCTCCAGACAGGTGGAGGACGTGACCAGGTCGATCCTGAAGAGTTGGTGAGGACCTCATGGGTAGCCGTACATCAGAGTACTGGCATGGAAATTGACAGCAGAGTCATGTGAGGCCACCAGAAGTGCAAGGCGGGGCGACAGGCACAAGCCTCCGAGCCCAGTATCATCCTCAGACCACATGGTGATCTTTTAACCTAGGGGCGTTAGAAGATCTGTTCATCCACGGTTGTGAGCGGAAGCTTCAGGTAGGTGAGCATCGTGTTTCTCAGGCGGGTGAGATCCGTGCGATGTTCACGAGTGAGATGACATTCACATGTAGTGGTCACCGTAGCTAAAGTGTGTTCACCATGCAACCCGTCAGGATGGTCCCCGATCAAGTACGTCCACGAGAGACGGTGAGACGTTCCAGTTGCATCCGTTAGGTCCTCCTCGTGAGTGTACAGAACCCACGTCAGAGCATCCGTTAGATCTTGCATCCGAGCATCCGTTAGGTCCTGCCGATGTTAATGCTGAAGGGTCAGAGGGATTCCCTTGGTGTGGTGAACCTGAATTTGATGAAGAATATTGGGAGCCAGACCCGTCTCCTGAGTATGAGCCATCTGATCTGATGCCAGACCTTGTCCCAGAGATCCCGGCAGGGCACTTGGAAGATCCGATGAGTCAGACAGCTTGGAAGCGTTTTGCCCAAACTGAGCTTCAAATGGACGAGCTAAGGAATATTAAGCAGGCCAGGGTCATGAGCCTGAGCGAGTCTTTTTCAAACGAAAGCTTTGGAAATTCTCTGTCCTCAATGCTGTCGATGTCGTCGAACAGCCTGAAGCTTTTGACCCAACATCCAGAAGCTGATCCGGAAGCCAGGGATAGTTTGGACGCCATCCAACGTTTGACATATGTACGGAGAGTCAGGATCGCCCGATCTGACGACGACCTGAGAGATGCCAGCTTGACCAAGCTGAAGAGCATCCTGCTCATGGATCCGACGACGACGAGGTTAGGAGAACTTTTAGTTCCTGTATCATCCAAACCGTTGTCCGACCATGACATCCGTAAGTCCCTTGAACAAGCCTTCTCGAAAAAATCCTCAAATACTCTTTATAAGAGAGCATGTGCCCTAACGAGATATGTAGAATGGTTTTTATTGCTCAATCACCGGGGCTCCCCACTCAGATTGAAGGAATTTGACATTTATTCGTATCTAGGACACTTAGAAAGTGGAAAAGCCGGTGCAACAGCAGCATCGAGCTTCTTGGAGGCCTTGAGATTCTTGGATTCGGTGGCGGTTCTAACATGTGCTGATCTGGGGTTGGTGTTGTCGCCCCGAGTCACGGGTTTCGCCCACCAACAATTCCTACGCAAAGCCCCACTCAAGCAAAAAGATCCAATGCCATGCCTGGTAGTGGCCGAGCTGGAGAAACTCTTGCTCAGGCAAGAGGATAGTGTTCAGACTTGCATACTGGGACAACTCCTGTGGTGTTTTCATGCAGCAAGTCGGTGGTCTGATTCAATGAGACTTCAATGTCTGAAGCTGGAGAAGATCAAAGATGTGGCGTTGGTCACTGGCGAAGCATTGGGATCGAAGACATCGGTGACAAAAGAGGCACAAACCAGATTGCTACCATACGTTGCGATCGGCACTGGAGTGAGTGGCATGCTCTGGGCAGAAAAGTGGTTGGACGCTCGTGTGGAAGAGCTGGGAAGGGAACCAGAACCCTTCTTACCATCCTTTTCATGCAGAACAGGGAGGTGGTCCTCAACACCTATGTCCAGTTCCGAGGCTGGTGGATACCTTCAGGACTTCGTGGAGGAGGTCAGACATCTGATGGACCCGTTCCCAAAGCTCGATGTCCAAAATTTGGGGACTCACTCTCTGAAGACTGGACTGTTGACTATGGCGGCCAGATCAACTGCAGTCAGATTCAGCATGGCTGAAAGGAGAACTCTTGGCCACCACATCAAGCCAGGCGATCGCTCTGTATTGACTTACAGTAGGGAAGCCTACACAAGTCTCTACGCGAAAATTCTGGCGTGCTTCCGGGAAATACAGCTCGGAAACTTCCGCCCTGACTCGTCGGCCTTAGAGAGAATAATCGAGGCTGCGGACACCATGGCCTCAGGCCCTCCAGTCCAAGTCGACGCTGCCCCTTTGGAAGCAGATAAAGTGGAAACAGCCGACCTTTGGGAAATTTCATCCGAATCCTCGGAAGAAGAGCAGGGCTTGATTGGGGTCCTTGAGTCCCAGGAAGAAACGGTTGGTAGGAAGCCATTCCCGGGGGAACACGAGGTCAGTTGCATTGTCCACAGAAAGAGTGGAATTGTGCATGGGTTGACTTCGTCCGGTGCCACAACCTTGTGTGGCCGACATGTTTCTGCCAATTATGTTGCGTTGGAAAGAGCAGCCATCGACGACATGGAATGCTGCATTTTGTGCGGCCGCCAACTGAGCAACATCGCCGCGTGAAAGAGAGAAAAAGGGTGTGAGTTAGAAACGCACTTTCCCTAGCAGTGAAATTTCCAGTAGCATTGAGAAATCATAATGGTAAGCTGACACTATACCTTCACAGATGAGGACCATCAGAGGTTCATCATTCATGAATCATGATTGTAAGTGGAAACATGCACAACTAAGGGCCATCAGAGGCTCATCATTCATGGATGTGACCGTTTACAAAGGGAAAACAGATGATCAGCAGAGATCATGTATTGTGGTTCACAGCGAAACCAACCGACATCCGAGCCCCCCTTCATATCCCTTCATATCCGGTCTTAGCAATGGCGGGATCTGCCACCGAAGTCTTTTTGGTCACAATCTGTGCTTGGTTAGAGGTTGACCGATCGATTACATCGGAGTTGTTGTATAAAGTTGAAGGAATGTCCGACTTCTTAGCGAAGGTGATCCGGCACGTCGGCTACTCATGCATCACTGAGCACCTCGCTACAGTGTGGGTGTTGGCGAGAAGGGCCTTGTGCATCATGCGCGGTGTGCCCATGGAACACACCTTGAACATCAGTATATCTTCTTTGGGTGCCATCAACCAGCATCCAAGAGGTTTCCGATCACTACGTGAGCTGGACCGAACAACCTTAGAGCTTGAAGCCGATTTGACCTTGTCAGTGCTGGAAGAATGGATCCTTGCGTGCCCTCCGAATCAACCGCTTGAAACCATCATATCTTTGACCCAGGAAACGGTGCTGGATATCCAAAGCATCATCGAAGATCGATCATCACAGACTTCCTAACCGCCAAAGAACAACAGAGTTCTTCAGGCAACTGCAGACAGAGCAGTGATCGGTCGCGGGGTCAAAAAGGTCACTGTAGCGCGGCTGGGGGCATGTGAGAAGGAAGGTGGCATCAGAGCCACAATTGATAAGCACTGACAGCGAAAGAATAGTCACTTGCTGTGGCATCTGAGCCAGTGGCATAGTTGCTACAGATACATGTCCACAGATCTCACATGAAACACTCTTGTTACTTGCCCGCAGCCCGATTTTCGGGGTAGGCAGCCTCATCAGAGAGGTGATGACATGGAAGTTGTGATAATTCATAGTGTAATCCAAAGGCACTTTATGTACTCGACATCACACCAGACAAGCAAGATAATCTGCAGATATAAGCAAAGGTCAACATGTGATCTCCTGAATTTTTCATCCTTCATAACATCGAACTCCAGCCATGTCCGCTCTTGATAGTAAGGCCGCATTTGCAGAAAGAATGAGGCAACTAGGGGTGGAAGACGAACTGAAAGGAGAGCTGCAGACGAAAGGTTTTGAGACATTTGGTTCTCTGGCATTCGCAGTATCGACAACCCCGCAACAGATCACAGATGCGATTCTGGATGCATGGCTCTTGAAGGTCACCAATAGAGATCTAAGCCCCTATCAGACATCATGCATCCGTAGACTGGTGGTGGAGTCCCATGCCTTAGCATTAAATGATCTGCAAAGAAAGGTTGACCAACCTTCCGATCCCCAGCTATCTCATCGAAAGTTACCCATGGCAGAACGCCAGACTCGCCAGTTAGAGCAGGAGACGAGGCTGGAGGGAATCATGTTCTCACCCGAGGTAACTCCAAGCCATGCACTGGTGGATCTTTGCGTGAACATGTTGGAGCAGAATGTTTTAACTTGGATCAAACCGGAGGAGTGTACATCACGATCACAGGAGATCCAGAGTTTGAAGCGCGACCCAAAGGTGTCACTGGATGCAAGCGGGACCATCAAGATCACGTCCAAGACGGTGAACACCACCTGCGCTGTCAGCTCAGAGCTGGACCTTAGAAATGCTCTGCAACGCAGATCTCTAGCAATGGACCAAGCCAAACTCTGTTCATTTAAGGAGATAGAATTGTGGGTACAACATCTGTTTCTATCGCATGAAAGAGCTCAACCATCAGGCTTTGCTTCAGTCACTCTGCAGCAGATCATTGAATGCGACAAGCAGATGTTCATCCGTGCGTCCAACAATCTAGTTGGCCAGCTGCAGGGTGAACCAGGCAGCTCCATGACGCCCTTGGACAAGGAAATCAGGGCGCTGCGAACATCCCCTGAGTTGATGCCATACCTGATGCCTATGCCAGTCCGGCCTGCACCCAAGACCAATCCTAAGCCAGACAAGAGGCCGACATCCGACGCATCCGATCGCCCTAGTAAGTATCAGAAAGGTAAGGGCAAAGGCAAGACAAAGGGCAAGACAAAGACCAAGTCAGGCTCCATTGACATCCCGCCTGGCTGTGTGACCAAGACGCCAGAGGGCAAACCGCTGTGTTTTGCCTTCAACAAGGGCGTGTGTGGATTTAAAGGATCCGGCCCACGGTGCCAAAGAGGATATCACCTGTGCTACAAGCAGGGCTGTCATAAGCCCAAGCCCTATCATGAATGCAGTCACTCAACCGAGTGACAAATGCAGGGCCCCGGCGGTCCCCCAACACATCAAGATCCGCCACGCCCGGTTTCACCTCATAGTCAGCAGCCCTTTGCAGTGGAAATCTGTTGTGGGCAGGCATCACTCTCAAGAGAGTTGATAAATGTTGGATTCTCAGTCCTTGCAGTGGACCATGTCATGCACGACCCCCAGGTGCCTGTCACCCTTTTGAATCTGACACAGGCTAGCCATCAGAAAATCTTAATTGATCTTTTGAATAATAGACCGCCTGATTATATCCACTTAGGAATGCCATGTGGCACCGCCTCCCGAGCCCGGGAAAGGCCCGTTGCTCAAGATAAAATTAACCAAGGGGCCCCACAGCCCCCTCCACTGAGGTCTGCAGACCATCCATTAGGCTTACCCCCCATTAATCCAGAATCCACATCCGGCGTAAGGCTGACAAAAGCGAACATCTTGTACAGATTTGTAGTCGACATCCTCCTGATCGCCATGAAATATAGGTCAGTGATCAGCCTGGAAAACCCTTACAGATCTTGGTTCTGGGCAGCCATTTTGGCATATGTTCAGGCTCAGAACAATCCGGATCTTACTAAGTTTTGGGATTCACTCACAGAAATTTTCTTTCACAACTGCTGCCATGGAGGCCAAAGAAAAAAGGGCACTCGTTGGAAATCAACTACAGGTGTCTTCGATCAGCTCACAGCACATTGCAAAAATGACCACAGCCACTTGCCTTATCAAGTTCGATCTCAAGATAGCACATGGACATTCGACACATCCGCAGAGGCCGCCTATCCACAATTGCTGGCGGCCAGAGTTGCAGCGGCAGTCAAAAAGTTTTTGGTATCCAAAAATCTGTCCTTTTCTATACCCCCAATCCCTAGAGAAAAGACCCTAGCCGCTCAACATCGCCAGCATAAAAAGAGAAACCAACTCATCCCAGAGTTTGTCACAACCAAGTGGCTCCCGCCCACCATTAGCCTCACCGACCAACAAAAATTGATCCCTTCATCTCAAAGGGGGGAATGCCAGGAAGGGAACTCACAAGAAAGGTCAGAAGGAGACGTCTTGGTGGGAACTTGGTACACACCGATGCAATTTGTGGAAGAAGCCAGGAACGTTACCCATCCAATGGATGAGAATGCCTTGGAACACATCACAAGAGATGCGATTGAGTACGTAGCTTGTAATTCACCAGAGTTAGTGTCCATTGAGAGGAAGAAGAACTTGTTGAAGGCTAAGATATTAGCCAAGCAATTGGAGGGTCAGGAGAAGAAGTTGCACGAGAACCTCCCAGAATCGGTTGAGAAAGTGGTCCGAGGGAAGAAAATCCTACTCTGGCAAAAGCTCTTGGAGCAGTCAGGGTATGATGACATGGAGGTGGTGAAGTTCATGAAAGAAGGAGTGCCGCTAGTGGGAGCTCACGATCATCCTAAGTGCTACCCTCTCAAGATCAAGCTGGCGTCCACGACGGAAGCTGAGCTCAGAGATTCAGCCTTGCCGTGCAGGCTTGCCCTGGAGCATAGGAGGCCCCAAACCAATGAACCTGGGTTCGCTGAGCACTTGGAGGAGACGGCACAAGAGGAAGTAAGCATGTCATTTCTAGATGGTCCGTACCACTCGGAAGCTGAAGTGACTGGAATCCTGGGCCACCGAAACTGGCGCATTGTGCGGCGATTCGTCATAGAGCAGGGTTCGAAACTGCGTCCGATTGATGATGGGTTGGAGGCGCAGCTGAACTCGGCTTACACCTCGACGATTAGATTGGACTTGCAAGATGCCGACTATGTGATTGCTTTGACATTGGAACTCGGAAAGAGGGCTGGCCTGAATTGGGTAGGAAAAACTTTGGACTTGTCTAAAGCCTATAAACAGTTACCCATTAAGCCGGAACACCGGGACCTAGCAGTTGTGTTCTTCAGGGATAGCGCCGGGAAAGCTAGGTACTATATTCCGAATTCCTTAATGTTTGGGTCGACAGCGGCTGTTTATGCCTTTAACCGGATCAGCCGATCACTTTGGTTTCTGAATAATGTTCTTCTGAAGGTACCGTCGGCGGTGTACTTTGATGATTACCCCATGTTCTCCCCAGAAAAAGCCGCGGCGGAGACGGACGCTATGGTGTCAGATTTCTTGGACCTCTTGGGTTGGCGACATGATAGGACGGGTCCGAAAGGAAAACCGTTCGCGCCTTCGTTTGACGTTTTGGGCCTGACACTTGATCTGTCCTCGTTGCACCGAGCAAGGGTGGTGACCCTGAAAAACAAGGAAGGGAGAGTAGACAAAATTTCTTCAAAAATAGGGGGGATTCAAAAAGAGGGCAACATGAGTTTGTCCGAAGCTCAGGAACTCCATGGCCTCTTGAATTTTGCAACAGGGTACTTTTCGGGGAGAGCCTTAAGGTATGCATGCTTCAAAATTTTTGGCCTTGTGGAGAAGGGCGAATCCCGATCCAAGCCATTACAAAAATGGTGCGAGGAAGTTCTAGTTTTACTCAGAAGCGTCCAACCCCGAACCATTCCGGTAACCATCAATACTCGGACAGTTCTCATCTTCACAGATGGGGCCTGGGAAAATGGTATTGGAGGTTTGGGGGCCGTACTCTTGGACGAAACCACGGGCTCTAAGCTCGTTGTGCAAGATAAGGTGCACCGAAGTTTGTTGGATTTGTGGGCAGATCAGGTTGGGGAGCAACTGATCTGTCAGATAGAGCTCCTGGCCATGGTCCTGGTGCGCTGGCAGTGGATGCGTGAACTTCATAACCGTAGAGTCCTCCTGTTTGTCGACAACAATTCAGCAAGGGGGGGCCATCAAAGGCCGGTCTAACAGTCAATCAATGGATGACTTGATAAAGGCCTTCTACTCGATTGAAGTGCATTTGCCGTCATTTTGGTGGATAGAAAGGGTACCCAGCAAGAGCAATCCTGCAGATGAGCCGTCTAGGATGGAAGGTGAGAAAGCATCAAGACGGTGGGGCGCCCAATTCATCCAAGGGTTCCAGTGCCAGCAGTTAGTGGTAGACTGGTTAGTGAGAGCCGCCAACAGACCAATGACTAGCCAGTGATCAAGTCGGTTTAATGAAAGGGGGAAAATGGAAACCGATCCATCCTAACAAGGCACCAAAGCCGGTAGACACCAGCAGCAGGTTGGGTCAGAAATTGTACAGAAGCCATCCGAGATACCGGAATCTCGATCAACGACATGTACCCCCGATTAGAAAAAGAAAGCGGCTTGCGGCTACGTCTTTCACAGCTTGAGTTGGCGCACTTGAATCCTGTTTGAATCAGGGTTTTTTGGTTCGAATAACAAGTGACAAGAAGGGATTTTACACAACGTGGAGATGACTTTCTTGGAACAAATATTCGACAGTTTTGGGAATTTCACAAAACGACCAAAAAACCTCTTATTGCCTTGAAACAATCTTGGTTGTAAAACAAGGAACCTTCGTATTTGATTGACCGATAAAATCTGTTCATGAAACTTATTGATGAGACATGTCGCTGAATCATTGAACAGATTTTGGAAATGGTCTGAGGGAGTTGGCATGATCCTGAAAACGTCCATAACGTTTGGCTTAAAGACCTTCAACAAAGAAGGCAAACAAGACATCTGAGTCTTGTCAATCCAATTCACTTCATATCTCTTCATCATCAAAGATGTTACATGCAACATGCAATTTGGTATGAACAATTGGATTGTTGGATCATCACATTTCGGACAATCAAATCACCTTTTTGTTTTTCCCTCCCTCCCTCCCTACAACAGGGGGGGAAAATGGAAACCGATCCATCCTAACAAGGCACCAAAGCCGGTAGACACCAGCAGCAGGTTGGGTCAGAAATTGTACAGAAGCCATCCGAGATACCGGAATCTCGATCAACGACATGTACCCCCGATTAGAAAAAGAAAGCGGCTTGCGGCTACGTCTTTCACAGCTTGAGTTGGCGCACTTGAATCCTGTTTGAATCAGGGTTTTTTGGTTCGAATAACAAGTGACAAGAAGAGTATGCAGTCCACCAGCTAGTAGCAACAGCCAAGATCTGGTCAGCTTGGAAGGAATTTTTGCCAGAAGAACTTCCCCCACAATTGCTTCTTATCAGGGCAGTTAGAGTGTTGAGACGGCTCACCATAGTCCCGACTCCCGGCCCACTCCTAGCCAGTCCACGCAACATGGCATTTGGCTACCAGTCATATTTCATCCATTACGCCCCGGGGGGAAAATTCGACACCTCTCCTGAAATGTACAACATGGAGATGCCGAGTTTTCGGCGGCAAGTTGACGTGCGGTTTTTCCGCGGGTTCCTTCACGGATTTGGAGAGTTGGGTGGATTTTTATATGGACAAACCAGAGTTGCGGCTATTGCTGTTCTTGGGTCCTCGACCCGTTAGACTCTTCAGGAGGTGATGGGCAGGTCACCCTGATCCATTGTCTTGAGGACCAACTATTTGCTCATTAAGTGCGATCATGTCATCATGTCAGGCAAGCGTGGCTGGATAGGACGAGTGTGCCACTCGTACTGCCATCTTCTCGATGTATGACTGGATCCTGCTTTATGGCATTCAGAAACTGCAGATCCAGCGGGCAGAGGTGGTACCGCATGGCTGCGAGAGTGTGCTGCGTGTCCTCTCATGGGCAGCTTTGTCGTCTCCAGAAAACTGCTTTGGCATGTGCTAAGGTCAGGTACGGTTGGCACCTGTGACCGCCATGCAGATTTCTCTTCGGATGCCAATTTGCTGACGCATCAGCTGCGTGAAGCATGGCGCGGCTTCTGGTGGCTGAAGAGGGCTAGCCAGTGACCATTACAAATTGGATGGATTCAAAGCGGGGATGGATAATGCTCAGCTATAGCCCTGCGAACTGGACGGAGTCAAAACTAGATGGGTAACAGTAACGCCATAGCCCTTTACAAACTGGACGGGTTTCAAAAGTCCATGGATAATGTTCATAGTCTGAGCCTAAAAGATCTCAATATCAGAATGTATATTGAAGGCAGCGAGCTCCAATGTTGCCGTCCGAACCAGCAGAGCCTTTTGTTAAATTACTTTTGCGATTTCATGAAGCAACCCTTGTTTGGGAAAAATGACGCTATTGAATGACAAAATGACAAAATCGAAAATATGAAAAATTCAAAAGAAACTTCGTTATTTTATCGTTGTTTTTAAAAAGAGCGTGTTATTTCTGGAGATATTTGGAGAAATTCATTTTTTTTACAAAGGAAATATGTTTGATGACAAAACCGAATGACGCAATGACATTTTTCGCTTTAAATTAAATCCAATAACGAGAATGTTCGAGATGATTTAGATCATGACATCCAACTGTCGGAAAACTTATCTAAGAAATGTTGGTAAATTGTATTCAAGGGTTGGTTCGCCTACTTAGAAAACATCACGGAAAAAAACGTTTGAACCCTGAACAACAGCAACGAACAAGAACGGGAAAAATGAAAGGTGACTCGGGAATTTGGTCGGGTCGACCGGGCTATTGGGGGTTGTTGTCTAGGGATCCTAGGAGAATTCGTTTGGTAGCTACTCCAGTCCCGACCATTGTGTTAAGCCCCAGCTCGAGCGAGCGGATGCGAGCGGATGCGAGTCGAGCAAAATTGGGGCACCATTTTGTAACTAGGGGTCAGCTTAGCTTGCCATTTTGTAACAAAACTTACGTCTGTGAATGTTGGGTTTTGCCTAATTGGGCCTAATTGTAAGAAACGCACCTTGTGCACACCATTCTGTACTTACAGAATGGGGCTCCCAACCCCCCGGGCCCAACGTGAACCGGGATGTTTATGTTTTTACTTTGCAAGACCATCCTTTGTGCTCAGTGCAGGCTCAGGTTTTTTGGCGTGCATGCAGTTGCTGGTCCACAGGGCATTTTCCGGGATTGACTCTTGACTTTTGGCACAGTGCCGTCCTTTGTAGGCTTGCCTCCTAGTGGGCGGTTGTGTTTTTTTTTAATTGGCCTTGCTTGGGCCTGCTCTTGTGTTTTTCCTTGCTACTTGGGGTGTTGTGGTTTTACACAGTGTTTTGTTTGTTTTGGTTGCCTACCAGTGCAAGGCCAATGAACGCCAGCATGACCCTTGATCCTTGATCTGCATCTGCATCTTGTTGGTTCTTGCTTGACACATTGCCCCGTTTTTGTCCCCAAAGGCGGCACGGAATTGAGCACCGCGTGATCCACATGTAGTTTCCCCTTGTCGGGCCAAATTCATAGTTTTCTGGCTCGTGTGGAAAATGGGAAATTGATAGCCTGGCAATTTGACCGGGCGTCACCAACCCTTTTTCCGACAAAAAAAAACAACCTGTCGCCAGTGAAAGTCATCCGGTCAAAACTTAGCACATGTTCTCTGGATGTTTTTCCCCACATTTGCGCCCAAAAGGCAATTGCCTTTTATTGTAGGACCCCACCCAAATTTCCACTCCGATGATCCGCTCTCGCGTCAGTGAAGGCTTCAACCGTTTGCCTCTGTTTTGTGCGTCGTCCTTCCGCCTGTAAGATTTGGTGGTGTCAGGATGTGTCAGGTGTCCGGCAATTATTCTTGGCATGTATATAGGTTTTGTTTTTCCAACATGCGCGGATGTAGCTTTGAATGACGGATAAAATTTGGTCGTTGGACGTTCAAAAAAACCACACAAATCAGTATCTTTTTTTTTTCGACCTTTCTCTGTGTTTGGGTTGCGATGTGGGTATGTCAACGCCGGGAAAAACAATTGAATGTTTGTTTGGAAATCAGAAGGAGGCGTGTTGGAGCAGACATTTGGCAATGCCCGCGACATTTGTGTACATTAGCCAGACATGCATTTTTTTTGTCGGTATGGGAACCAAGATTGAACGAAGTGGAGGGCGACCATGTTTTTGTGTTCGGATGATGCAAACAATTTTCTTCAAACAACGCGAACGATCACACAGAAACTGTTTTCGCAAATTCAGTATTTGGAAACTATTTTGCGCAAATTCCAATGTCATGGGAGTACCCCCAGTCATCATCCATTTTGTTTATTCGGGTTTTCCATGAAACCCTCCAACTTTTGGGGTACCATGTTGTTTACCGAACCATTTGTGCCATGGGATTGAAACCGGGACTCCCATGAGCCTTTCTTCTTGGCGCATTGCGGTGGAAAGCGACTGGCGTGTGTTGGAAGCTGCGCCCAAGGAACTGCGATCCGAACGGGAGGCCCTGGGGGTACCCCAGTCGTCACCATGGGTTTCAATACTAAGTCATGGTTGTTTCTGACTTGGATGACTTGGGGTACCCATATTTTAGGAAACTTCAATTGTTTTTTTTCTTGTTGCGTGTCTGTGGTTGGAAACATAGCACCTGAACATCCCAAAACATTTGTTTTTGGAGTGTCAGGGAACCTGGGTGGATGGTCTTCAAGGACACACAGACTTTTCATATCGTTTTTTTCTTAATGGTGGCACTGCTTTGTGTTTAGATGATTAGCCCAAAGGTACATGCATGGATTCACGTTTTCCCACATCTTTACAACATCGAAGGCATTTCAGCAATTGTCATGTCCCATAGACAATTAACCACCTGTGCCACTTGCAGTTAAATCAATTTTGAAGGATTGTCAAAATTTCACAAAATGGTGTCAAATGCATGCACGAAACACATCAGCGAGTGTTTTTCACTCACGAAACCCCGAAGGTCATCTTGAAAGCTGTGGGACAAGCAGGAAGTTGCCTGAGTTATGCTTCTGAGGAACGGGATAGGATGTTGGTGATGACTCTCCAGGGTTCCTAAATCTATGCGAAACAACAAAACACACCTAAAATCCCTTCATTTTTAAGTCATGTCCGAATTCTTGTCAATTTTGTTTTGTGGATTCTGTTCATGCATGATCAGGCTATTTTTTTTTCCAACGCAATGCGGTGTCGTGGAATCGTCGATCCATATTTTGGTGGATTCTGTTTGAATTGACTTTTCATTCTTGCCGGGTTGCGTAGCAGTCGAATAGTGTTTTCCAACAGATGAAAACGACTGGTCTATTGACCCAAAGATCCATTCTGGCCGTTTTTTGTGGAAATGTGTGGTGACTATCTATCCTCCATATGACGGTCCATTATTATCGTGGATGATCTCTGTAACAGGGATCGAATCTATCCATCAATCGGTCCATCGATTTCGCATCTCAAAACTGTTTATCCCTGTTTGGGGTGTGCTGCCATTGAGAAAACTACGGATTGAATGTGATCCTGGCAATGATAGATCGTTTTCCTGAAACCCAGCTGATGTTTCCTGATATGTATATATATATATGTATGTATGTATGTATGTAATGTAATGTAATGTAATGTAATGTAATGCAATGTAATGTAATGTAATGTAATGTAATGCAATGTAATGTAATGCAATGTAATGCAATGTAATGCAATGTAATGCAATGTAATGCAATGTAATGTAATGTAATGTAATGTTATGTTATGTTATGTATGTGTATGTATATGTATATGTATATGTATATGTATATGTATATGTATATGCATATGTATATGTATATGTATATGTATATGTATATGTATACGTATACGTATAGGTGTATGTGTATGTGTATGTGTATGTGTGTGTATGTGTATGTGTATGTGTATTTGTATGTGTATGTGTATGTGTATGTGTATGTGTATGAGTATGTGTATGTGTATGTGTATGTGTATATTTGGGTTGTGAGAAATATTTGAATGTCCGGAATTTTGGTTCATAGTCTCAAGTGAGACTAGCAGCAAGTGCTGCAGAACAGGTGAAGTGGATGTTCATGTTTCAATACTTGTCATGTCAAAGACAATATTTCAACATATGTTCAAAAGTTGAACATGACAGGAACATCATTGCACTTCACAAGTTTCATTTATTTCCCCACTGGGTTCTTGTTTTGGTTGTGCACTTCCGCCTGCCTCTTCCCGCCCCGCCCACTCACACGCAACTTGTCCACACACAACTTACTCACACACAACTTGTCAACACACAACTTGCTCACACACAACTTACTCACACACAACTTGTCCACACACAACTTACTCACACACAACTTGTCAACGCACAACCTACTCACACACAACTTGACCACACACCACTCACTCACACACACAACTTGTCCACACACAACATGTCAACACACAACTTACTCACACACACAACTTGTCCACACACAACTTACTCACACACAACTTGTCAACACACAACTTGCTCACACACACAACTTACTCACACACAACTTGCCCACACACAACTTACTCACACACAACTTGTCAACACACAACTTGCTCACACACACAACTTACTCACACACAACTTGTCCACACACAACTTACTCACACACACAATTTGTCAACACACCACTTACTCACATACAACTTGTCCACACACAACTTGCTCACTCACAACTTACTCACACACAACTTGTCCACACACACAACTTACTCACACACAACTTGTCAACACACAACTTACTCACACACACAACTTGTCCACACACCACTTACTCACACACAACTTACCCAAAGGGGTTGCACTTATGGCCGAGGCCTTCAAGATTCAATCACCAAGGGCCAATTATGAGACTGCCATCTTTGAGGAAGAGCTGACGAGAGGGTGAGCCGAGGACAACCGCCTGCTGGCTTGCGTGCCACGTTGTCACGTATCTTGAACCTATATTACAAGTGCATGCGTGCATTATTGCCCACGCATTCGATCGCTCGATATCTCTATTATTGACATTGATCTATGACATTTCTGTGTTCATTCCTGGTCCCCCTGATTTTGAGCCATTACCCATCTAAGTTTTTTCTTGGTGGTTTGACATTGACACTGGGAGATATACAATGGAAATCACCAACCTGAGTTAGATTTCAAACCACCATGGAAACAGTTATACTTAATACATTAGTATTTTCCCCACAATTTTCCACCATTTTACTCATGAGATATTCCATGATATACCCCACCATAGGGACCGACGGTGACCGGTCCCAAGGTGCCATGGATGATGTGTGGGCACCTGTTGGGGTGGCAGCTGTCTTGGTGGACACCAAATGGAAAAATATCGGGTACATTGATTCATCTCTTTATTGGCACCACAAAAACCAATCACAATTCTGACCTCCTCATCGAAGACTTGGGAGTTCGAAAACTGAATTGACCCCCAGCGCCCCACCTGGGCATGCACTGGTTCCAAGGTGTAAAAATTGTCCCAACAAGTGCACGTGCCTGCACATGTCTAGGGCGCAAACAAATTTTGGTATTTGACTATATATATATATATTTATATTTATACAACATATGGTATATACGGTATGTATTTATATATATATATGAAACCTTTATGATTTATATAATGTAGACTTACATATACCTACTGCTTGCACAAGGGTTCACAGGGGAGAATGGCTGAGGTTGCGAAAATCATCAGTGTCTGGCAGGGCACCCTGGAGTTGCAAATCACCAAACATATATATATATATATATATGTCCTGGAGCACCCAAACCCTAAGAATTATTCAGGCCAATACAAGAACTTGAGGTTCTTGCAGAAAAAATCAGAAAACCTCCGTTTTCCGGTATTGTATGTATTGTAGGTATTGTAGGTATTGTAGGTATTGTAGGTATTGTAGGTATTGTAGGTATTGTAGGTAGTGTAGGCATTGTAGGTATTGTAGGTACTGTCGGTATTGTAGGTATTGTTGGTATTGTAGGTATTGTAGGTATTGTAGGTACTGTAGGTATTGTAGGCATTGTAGGTATTGTAGGTAGTGTAGGTATTGTAGGTATTGTAGGTACTGTCGGTATTGTAGGTATTGTTGGTATTGTAGGTATGTATGTATGTATGCATGCATGCATGTATATATATATATATCAATTACATACATATATATATATATGTATATATATATATATCAAACATATATATATATATACACATACATCTATCTGTGCATAAAAAATATATTTATGCTCATACGCACACACACACATATTTATATATATATATGTATAAATATATATATAGTTTTGTCATTCGTGCCAATATTTGATTCATTTCCATACTTTCCCCAAAACCTTTACCGTCTTCAAGGAGCCCACGACAAGTATCCATGAAACCCCATACATATTTTCACTATACATATTTGCGATATGTCGGAAATCTATGGATTGATTATTCAGGCAAAAAAATACTTGATATTTACTTGGCACTTTCTGGATATCTGGTGAATCTCCCAAAACACCTTTGCGAATGTCAATTCCACAAACACGGCATTTTCTTCCCACAGACCACAGTTCCCCAACGCTTTACCAAATATCACCAACAATGTCAGACGTATATATATATATATATATCCAGAAATGAACGATACAATCTGATACATACATTTGGCGAAAAACTATGGATTCATTGATCATTTAAATGAAACACGAATCCTGAAATTGAAGTAATATTCGTGGATATTTCACTGATTTTGTGGATATCAAGTGTTTTATCCGATCATGATTATTGAACTGAATTGTCGGACACTCCATATTGTTTTGCCCAAGAACAAAGACAACACGTGCCCTACTGTAATTTTTGACAAAATATCCCCAAAATCGTGAGACGTATTCATAATTTCAGGGAAAACTATGGGTTCATTCATGATTTCAGTAAAAACTATTTAATTTGAGATTTTTTCCCGAAATTTGATGTAAATGATCCATAACATCAATAATTACGTTCTTTGAGTTGCATCCGATTTGCATCCAGTTGCATCCAGAGTTTCAGAGTCCGGACATATTTCCATAACTTGAATCAAAAATCAGTTTTTTAGAAAAACAAATCTAGAAATCTCGCCAGAAATCTCCAGAATCTGATAAAAAAACGTGAGATTCCGAGAAAATCTCGAGGAGTTGCGCCTGGATCCAGAGATCGCCCTGGCTGCGCTGAGCAGCGACCTCCAAGCCTTCGACTTTGTCGGGGACGAGCTTTGGGAGGAGCGCCGAAAAAATCCGAAAACCATCGAAACTACCATAGGGCATCCCAAACACCATTGATTTCAGCTGACTTGTTTCTTTGTTGTTTTTTTCTCCCAGATATGATATATATATAAATAAACATTAGAATATTTGCATGTATTTGTATTGTACTAATTGTACTATATAAGATGTATGTTCTTCATTTTGTTGTTCTTCATTATTCTCACAGCATCTGTATATCCAGCTTTTTCAACCTCAGGACGATACCTTTGTCCTGAAGGTCCGCGGGCGTGGTGTAGAACCATTGGCTGATGAGTGCCATAACCAGTTGTTCTATGTTTAAACAAACACTTACACACCATGCATAGTGAAGTAAACGATGGTAGAAAAAAACCCATGTGGTCAACCCTGCATAACCATATATTACCAGAAATGGATTGTATAAACTATCCAAAAGTGGATCTTTATTCTTGGGTTTACCACCATAACTGGGTTCGCACCTTTTACATATCGGGCAACCAATCCGTAGCTTGATCAGAAGCAACCGCAACCAGTGAGAAAATCTGGGACCCCAGTAACAACAGCTCAACCACTGATCCCAGGATTCCCCAGAGATGGGCAAAAATGCCCAGTTTTTTCAGCATTTTTTCGAGGATTTTTGGTTTTTATGGCTACGAGATGCCAACTGGTGGGTTTTTTTGGTTTTGCGTAGAGCTTCGGTCCACCAGGGATCTACCTGAGTCGACCCGAGTCGCATTTGTCGATGGGCGATTTTCCATGGATTGGACATCCTTTCCCGTGAAATTCTCCCATTTGGGCTGCCAAAAGATAAATAGATCCAACTTCGAAGCCCCTTTTTTGGGTTTGAAGGGTCTCATTTTTTAATTCTAAGGGAGTAGCAAACATGGTTTCATGTATTTTGTTTTGTTTTCAATAGTTATAAAGTATAAGTATAAGTATATGTATATCTATATCTATATCTATATCTACAATCCTGGATACGATGCTTAAAGGCAGAACCCCTGACCTGGGTCAGGCGTGCGCCTCGCACTTGTCGGTGCTGGAGAGAGTAAAGCTGAGTCCTTTGAGCCGCGAGCGGCGCATCATGCAGCAAGCGCTGCGCATGTGACGCGGCGTATCCGATGGGGGTGGGTTGGGGTGGGTGGAGCTGGGGAAAAGTGGCTATTTTGATGTTTTCATGCAATTTGATTCGGAGGTTTCAAGAGATTCTGGTTCCACTGTGCGATGTTCAGACTGAAACGGAGCTCTCTTGTTCTAGCAGAGGCTCAGAATCACCCAGGAGTGATAGGTTATTATTTCTTATTTACTAGCATCATGGGACATATGGGATACACGGTACCAGCAGCTCTCATGGGAGGAATAAAAATCCTCCTGATGTCCAGCCTCGCTTGTGATATTCCAGGTAGTTTCCCTACGGCAGTCTCAAAATCTATCATCTTTCATTTTCAGGGCAGGTACCCTCTGGTGAACTAACATAGCAATGGAAAATTCACCATTTTTAATGGGAAAATCCACTATAAATGGCCATTTTCAATAGCTATTTTGACATAATCAGAGGGTAACCGGAGGTCCATGGAGGTCCATGGGTAGATCGTGGTGTCAACGCTTGGCCAACAACTGGCGCTCCGCGCCGATGGGAGGAATTGGAATGCGCTGCAATATGCCTCGCTGGAGCTGCGCCAAGAGCCTGATCTCTGTTTGGAGGCGGTGCAGCAGCGGCTCGGTTGGGACTGGGGACTGGTTGGGACTGGGGATTTTCGTAGAAATGGCATGTAGAACTCGGGGAAAATTGAAAAGTAGGATGAGGATGGTTTATGCATGTTGATTGATTTTGATTATTTTTGATTGATGTTTACTGTGATACCCTCTACTTCCAGAATTCGCCATGAAGTAGAATCTCTACCATTTCTAGAGTCTTTAAGTTTTACTTCGAATTTGGCCATTTTCTATCTTAGATTCCCAGAGAATCGGAGAACACAACACATGGGGTCATCTCGGAGGTGATCAGCCGGGGAAAAATGGTGTCTTGTGGTGCCCTCAACAAGTGATGTGATGCCCTGCCCTGCCGGCCCTGCCAGCCCTAGGCATTGGCGCGCGCTGATTCACGTGGACGAATCGCTGTGGTCGGACCGCGCCTTTATGCTGAAGGCCATTCGCTGCCGTTGGCAATGCGCCCAGCTCCTCGGGCTGTGTCAAGGGGATACCTGGAGTGTAGCTCTAAGGTGGGCTATGAAAAACAGGGAACATGATGATATATGATTATAATATGATTATAATATGATTATAATATGATTATAATATGATTATAATTATAATATGATTATAATACATTATAATGTATCTTGAGTATATTGGATGTTGGGGATACACAACAATTGAACAGACAAAGCCACAAAAACATTGAACGGGCTTATCATGAAAAAAACATAGTAATCAGATTCATTTGGATTGATTTGCATCGTCATTAAGGTGACAACATAATGATTGATAAGATGATAATCTAAGACTTATATATATTTTTTAGGTGGCATGTTGCAAAATTATTTTTTGCATTATAATGATAACCTTTTGCAACACCATGAATTTCTTGATTCTAATCTCTTGCACTCACAAAAGGTGCATGTATTTTTTTTTACCCAGAAGCCGTTCCCAAAATCTGTAGATCCAGTGCTGTACAACATACTTATGACTATATATATAACATTGGCATTTAGTCAACAAAGGATTCATGAGTTGGAAACTAAGAATTCCGCGGTTTAAATAACCACACAAGAATAGAGTTATAAGTTATAACATGTTTTCAACTATCTAACAGTCACGCTTGAACAACAATCGATCATCATTTAGACACTTATTATGATTCAAAAAATTAACGTAACCCAACAAATCTACAAGAACACATCATGTTTCTATTTATTGCGGTCCCAGCAATCACCCAGACGGATACGCGGATACCCTCTGGTAAGCACCCATGGCTGGAAAATCGCCCAGTTAGTTTGATGATTGTCCCTCTAAAACCTCCTTTGAATCCAATTTTCCAAGGCTTTTTCCTATGTTTTTCCCAGGTTTTTCCTATGTTTTTCCCAGGTTTTTCGCTCCATTTTTTGGGGCCACGTCCCGTCCCGAAGCCACGTCGCGAAGCCCACGTGGCCACGGAGGTTCCTGGCGTCGGAGCTCCGGCGCGACGGCGCGTTGTACCTGGAGGCCCTCCGCCGGGATGTGGCGGCCTTGGACTTTGCGGACACGGCGCAGAGGTGCGGTTGCTGGGGATGGGATGCTGGTGATAATGGGTGATTAATGGTGATTAATGATGGTATAATGATGGTGATACCCACTGGTAAACTGTTTTTCAGTTTTCTATGGTTAATCTATGGTTAATAATAATGGTTAATCTATGATTAATCTATCTGGTTTTGAAGGGTGGCTTGGGATGGGTTTTTTTTAACCGAACTTTGGAAGGTTGGGTTGGGATGGGATTGGAATGCTGGTTTTGAAGGGTTTTTGAATGGGATGAAGACCTCAGCTGGTTCAACTGTTTGGGGAAGATGGGGGAATGGCTAATGATGGTGATATGTTCGGATCTGAGATGGTATCTATATTGATTTTACGAGCAAATGGAGGGAATATAACAGATATATATATATATATGTATAATGGAATATAACTGAATAGATTATAGTGGGCAGGACTATTTAAGCTGGTTTCCTAAAATGGGGGCTAGGACTTGAGTTTAACCACATGATAGCCATCCAAAACCAAAGCATGCCAAAAGACCGAGCGGACTTTGGTATGACTTTGGTTTTGATGGAAGCTCACTTGTGCTTTCCGACTGTCTTGTGAAGCCAGCCTTTCTGCGGTGAAAAAAGCGACTCGCCGTTTTGATGTGTTGTCCAAACTTCAGCAGTACAACAACCCAGCTTGTAACTTGCTGAATATTCTGTTCATTCTGCACACCAGTTTGCTGTAGATTGAGATATCCGGCTATCGAAGAGATATGCCAGAATGACTTGATTGACCATCACAGATACTATTGTGAGATATTGTGTTTATCAGGAGGCCTGGACTAGAGGAACCTCATCAGAGGTTGCAACCTTTGTTCTGAGTAGGTTTCTTCTCCCGTCCATCTATCATCTATCTACACAGTAGGATGAGCTTCTTGGGTCACCGGTTGACAGTCCCTTTCCGTCAGGGGCAATGCAGCCTTCATGCTTGAAGCATTGAAGTTGCAGGACAAAGCTGACATGTGGGTATCTTCTGGAACTGCCTTGACCCAGATGAAACGAACATGCGCTTGGGAAAGGACTAGGTGACTGTCAGTATCTTCAAGTACGATTGGGCATGGCAACTTTGGTGTTCTTTGGGGTTCTATGTTGGACTTCAAGGGCGAACGGCTCCGGAGTGGGATTTTTCAGGGACCGTCTCCAGGACGTTGCTCTGAAGCGACTCACGCCTGCTCTCTATGAGGACGGGGATGGTTTTTTCGGATTAGGGGCCGTGATCGATGGTGATGGATGGTTTCCAGAAACAAGGGTCCCACCATCTACCCATATCTACCCAACATTTTTGGATGGTTGCATGGTTTTCAACATGTTTCATCACAAGATCAAACCTGGAAGAGGTTTGGAGACAATCCTGCGAATCGGATGGACTTTTCAGCCACGGATGGCTCGATCTCCAACGAACAATCTTCATGGAACATTTGGGGCAGAAGAATATGTGTTGTAATATGAGCAATGATCAAATCAAATGGAGCTTTCTCAACAATAACTACAACAACATATAACACTTGGGACATATGTATATATACATATATGTATATATATATATATAGATAGCAATCCAAATGGGAGCTGCAGCGACTTGATCGACTTTCCATCCCAGGATCCCGGCTTTTGGCTCAGCGTGGTGAAGGAACTTCCGCACGGCTGGAGGTTAGCCTACGAGCAAGGCCCCGTGAGCCTCCGCGACAATGTGGAGGCGACGCTGTTTCCGCTCCGCTGTTTCTACAACGGATTCTTGGGGGGTGAATGACCAACAACGAAACATGTCCACAAAAAAAACAGGGTTGCAATCGATTGGTCCACAAGCAATTACAATTCATAGCAATGAATAGATCTAGTCAGCTACTTGGCTTATTGGAGATCAGTGGAAGTAGTCATCTACTGGGTCAAGAACCAATTGTTGCGAATACCATGGGATCCCCAATGGGGATACCAAGCATTTTTCGCCATTTGATGAAAAAACAAGGTGATGTTGGAGGCAGTGAAGCGCAACGTGGATGTTTGGACTCCCAGTTGAAGTCAAGGGGTCGCGAGGAAGAATGGGCTTATGAAGTCATGTTGGTCCCAAAAAAGATAGAAGTTAGTCAAGTTAGTACTTCCAATCCTAGAATATGTTGGTAAATTAGATCTTTTCAATTTTTTCCCCAAGAGCTCTGTCCACAGTGAGGGGTTCTTACGCTAGGTGTAGAGCCCTGGGTTTGTTCACGGTTCACGTTCTTGCCTCCGGGTTTTGTTTGCGCCGGCTCACACAAAAGTTCCCTTGTGAGATGTGCATACGCATTTCGACTGTGCAAGCTTGCACAAATTGTGGGCCCTGTTTTGCTCTTTTCCGAAGGTCTGTTTTTTGAGCAATGGGCGCTTTTCGTTACAAGACTTTCGCCAGTATGAAGACCATGAGGTTGTGGTATGAGGTCCTGGCAAGTAGACATAGCGTGCTGCAGTTCCAATGTTTAACTTGATCTGCCACTGTTTGCGTAGCTACTGTTGCTTATATTTCCTACCTTGATTTCCTAACCCCCCAAACTCTTTGGGGCCCCTTGCCGGTGTATGCCGGTGTAATTCTGACCCTTTTGGGGAATGGGACTCAGGATTTAGCATTCGAAGGTCCATTTCGGGGGATCTTCCCATTTCATGTTTTTGCCGTTGCGTGTTTCCACTCTGCCAAAAAACCGGGGTAATACAAATTGGTACTGAAACTCAGAATTTCCAAAAAAAAAGTTGTTTCCAATCGCCACATTTGGGTTCCTCAACCCACTTGGCTTCGTCGAGGTCCTGGAGTATGGCACTGCAAGGGTTCGGCCCGGGATGGGACTCGACAAAATTGTGAAATTTTGGGCTTACCACCTGGGGAGGGTCCGGATGGTCCCCACACCAAATGGGTACTGCATGGTACAGCCCCAAGACCCAGAAACTGGTGGGTGGTTTGGAACATGACTTTTATTGTTTACATATATTGAGAATAATAATCCCAATTGACTTTCATATTTTTCAGAGGGGTAGGTCAACCACCAACCAGCTAAAGATGGTTCAGTGAAGTTTAGTTTTGTATTTGCTCTGTGAATTCATCGAAATCATTTCACCTGAGGGGCACTTGCTGAGGATTTGTCGATGTTTTAAGTCTACCTTGTTTTTGATATGACCGAATCCAGACAAGTATAAAAATCATCTCCGACCCGAGATCAATGAACTATGAAAACCAAAGAACATGGTCTTTTGAATCTCTGGATTGTTTTCAGGTGTTTTTTTATTTATCCCTGATTTAAAAGGAAACAAACAAACCCAGACAAGTTCCCAGCCTTTCTGAAATCACCTGATGGGTTAAAAACCCTGCCAGGTGAGGGCCGATGCATCCATCATGCAGGCAGCGGCGGAACAAAATGAATGAACTCATGAGACAAATGGAATAATGAATAATTGTCCCATGATAATAGAGATTCTTATCATGTTATCATGTACCAATGATCATGGGACAAAGGGATGATAAATGGCCTCCCGATGATCTTCCAATCATCGCCTTTTTTTCTTCCAATGTATATATATATACATACATACATATACATATGTACATAAGATATGTATATATATATATACATACATAAATACATACATATGTACAGTAAATGATATACATCTATTTTTTGATCCCAGTGAAACCTGGATTCAGGGTCCCATCCCTCGCAGGAAGCTGTGAAACAGAGCTGGCGAGCAGTGACGCGGGGAAGCTCAAAGATGGGAAGCTTGGGAAACTGCTGAGATTCTTTGCGTAGTGATATACCCGGCCTGGTACACTAACATAGCTATTGAAAATGGCCATTTATAGGGATATATCAACCATCATAGGGATATAAATGGGGATTTGATGGAATATACCCTAGTGATATAAAACCCATGGGAACATGGGAAAACATAGGGAAACCCATAGGAAAATGGAGGTTTACCCGGCCTGGTAAACTGTTACATAACGAACTGGAAAGATCCACCATGCTATTCACGGGAAAATTCACTGTAAATGGTGGATCTTTCCATAGTTATGTTAAATTACCAGAGGGTATATCTATATTGGGCCATTTCAGTGGCAGAAGTCCTTGGGCGGACACAAACAAAATGGAAGGATAAAATATACATATTTCACTGCAGCAAAACCTTTTTCTTTTGTCTTCATTTATATCTATATAAGTCTACATATCTTGGCCATTGTGAAAAGAAGTGTATCTACCTGTTGCAATGATATTTTCCCAGTGGTTTGGAAAAACATATTTAGAGGTGGGATCAGTTGTCCAATCCCGATGACAATCGGGGACACAGTCCCCATGAACCTTGTGCACATGTTGATGTTAGATGGAAAAAAACGAGGGTAAATATCACATGCTTCCAAAATTTAGATTGAACTCACATCCAATCTCAAGGCATTTTGGAAGCACGCTCTCTGAGGCACGCATCGGCGAAATTGGATGTGAGTTCAATCTTGAAGGCAGTGGAACAGGCGGCTTGGCGGATTTTTTCTGGAAAACTGTGAAAGCAAAGCGGAGCCTAGGGAGCTGTGCCTTAAAGATTGGACATATTATATATATATATGTGTGTATATATATATGCATATATATATACGTATATATATATATACGTATATATATATATACGTATATATATACGTGTATATATATATACGTATATATATGATCTATATGATCTTTCATGCCATGTTGTGATACTGCAGTTTGATCTCATCCGAAAAATCCTCTGAAGATTCCCTCCGATATATATATATAGAGTTAAACAGGGGTGGGAATCTTAGAGGAATTTTAATGCCCTTGAAATCATCTTAAGATTCCCTTTAATGTTAAGTTGAGTGGGGGTTACATGGTGACATGATTGACATGTCACAAGAAACTTCGTTAAGAAACTTTGTCGAAAAGATTCTTTTCAGCGTCGAATCGGGGGCGCTTGCGTGTTTCACGTTACGAAAGAATCATCACCCCCCATCTTTCATGAGTTCTGTATAGGTAAAATGGTTTTAGCGACTAAAAATGGGTAGTCCATGGTAGTCCTTTCAATGGATCCCCCCAAATTTCTGTCCCCAAATCCGCTGGGATCCTACACGGAATTCGCTGCAGGATTGGAGAGCTATCTCCATTTACTTGGATCAACTGAATGGGCTGGAGGAGATTGAAGATGTGCCACCTTGGCTTAAAACTTCGGCGCACGAAACACGTGGGGTTTTCCGTGGATGGGGAAACTTGACCGTCCGAATAAGATGGATTGGGTTCGTTTTCTTTCAAGGTCTTAAGAAAAATGGAGAACATGAGGCTTGCCGGTGATTTTCAGTTTGCGATATCCCTAATGCGCCCAGTGCGCCCCCAACAGCAGTTCATGATTTATGTTTGGTGCGAAGCCACCGGCTAGATTGGCCGGGTGTGAATCATGGCCGTATCTTTTTCTTGGATGGGTCAACGTGCGTGGTCTTGTCAGACCAGTGAAGCTGATATCAGATACCCTCTGGCTATTTAACATAGCCATGGGAAATGGCCCATTTATAGATGATTTACCTATTAAAAATGGTTATTTTCCATGGCTATGTGAGTCATAACCAGATGGTATATCAGGAGCCAAATTTGGAAAACATCCACGGTGACATCTTTTTCGATGAAAATCCATGGGTGACAATTCTCTTCCATTGCTACTCCAATTTGCCGCTTGACGCTTGACCCAAATCTCCGAAGCGTCATGTGTCAGTCTTCAAATCGTTTGAAAAAGATGCTTTGGCAATCCAAACCCTGTGGTTCTATTCCAGGTTTTGTCCGATTTCATGCTTGGTTAAGTTTCCCCTCATTTTGTCGCTGAAATGAGTGGTTATGCAAACCTAGAAATGAATGTCATAATTTGATCGCTGGTTGTAGGCCCCCCTATAATATTATGGTGAAAAACTAGACGACGGATGGCCCGAGAGCACAGAGGAGCATAATTATTCAGGTGTATATTAAACACGTATATTGTGGAAACTGAATGTAAGTCTGTAAGAAGAGATCATCAGAAAGATGGAAGATGTAAGATGTAGCAAGAGAAGATGTGAGCTGTAAGCTGTGAAGATGCGAGATGTGCAGACGTAAGGTGTTAAGATTGAAGATGTGAAGATGAACGATGCAAACATACATATATATATATATGCTTGTAGCTTTTTGGGGCTTGACCTAGCTCTGCACATTTCACTGTAAAGATGCAGGTACAACTACATCTACATCGTTTTGATCACCGCTTTGGGGCTTGACATCAATCTGCACAAGAGAGAAAGCGAGAAAGAGAGAAACAGAGAGAGAGAGATATAGAGAGATAGAGAGAGAGAGAGAGAGAGAAAGAGAAGACAGAAATGTGATATGTAAGATGTGCAGATGTAAGATGTTGAAATGTATGCTGTGCAGATAGTACACAGTAAGATGTACAGATGCAAGATCTTCAAATGTAGGATGTGCAGATGTAAGATGTGAACATGTGGGGTGTGCAGATGTAAGATGTGTAGGTGTATATGTAATGTCACATCATTTTTTTCACAAACCCTCAGACGCTTTCAAGAAGAAACACATATGTGAAATCGTGCTGTAAATTTCTCATCAAGTGCCGTGGTTTTAAAAGGTCACATTTGTTTTCCCCGTTAGAGGGTCATCTACATCTCAGGCAGAAGTTGGTGAAGGCCAACCCCGAAATCGTGCGCGATGATAGGCGCGAGGAGTCCACGAAAATTGCCTGTATATTTGGGACATAGCAATTTGCGAACTGGAAAATCAATGAAACTCAGCATCTTGAGGGAAATCATCGAATTGAATGGGCCATGGTTTCCGGTTAACTGTCAAATTCCTGGAAAGTGAATTCTTGGGGAGTACTTAAAATGAATAGAACACAAATAAATAACTCCTAGTTTAAGGCTTGAACATGGACCCAGTTAGTGGAACAAAAAGGATCCACGATTAAACCGCCAGCACCAAAAATTAGCACCAAATGTGTGGATCTAAATCAGTCACGGGCCGATACTCATTGACTTGCCGGAGATTGGATCCAACATGGGAACCATGTTACCACTTAGTCACTAGGGGAGAGGGAGCGGTTTCATGGGACCCTTGGGATCCCTTGGGGTGATCCCATCGCTACATTTCTGTCACCGCCATATGCTGGGCTGGAGCCATGGAGATTTGATGCTTCCAACTGAAACCATCTGATTTTTTGAGCTCCTTGGTATCAGTCCCACGTAATGATTCACATCCCGTAATGACCAGGCACGTCTTGGTCATCACCTTTCAGTTCTCATCTCACAAAGTGATATTTACCAGATCTCCTCGGGCTACGTAGCAGTTTGCTATGGAAAATGGCCCATTTAGTTCGATGATTTACCTATAAACACATGGTCTCCACGCCAAAACTGTCAGAAATTACCAGATTAAATCTTCCCAATTATCAAAAATGTTGCTTAAAAGAAAGTTCGGGTATAAGAATAATTCCTCCATAGATAATATATTACATCCGGGTATCCTCATTCATGCTTAATAAATCCCATTCTGTATCCCCATTTTTTTCCCCATTGAATGGTTGGGAATTCCACTCCAGAGGGCACAGACTCTGCAGGCTGAAGGGAGAGAAAATGGTGGTCCTACTGGCGGTGAAGCAGGACAAGAGTGGCTATGCAACTTGTATACATATGTATTTATATATGTATTCGTATATGTAGACATAAAATAATTATATATACATATGTATATACATATATATACATATATATGCATATAAATATAATCATATATATATGTATATGTATATGTATATGTATGTGTATGTATATGTATATGTATATGGATATGCATATGCATATATATGTACATGTACATGTACATGTACATGTATGTGTGTGTATATGTATGTGTATGTGTATGTGTATGTGTATGTATATGTATATGGATATGCATATGCATATATATATATATGTATATGTACATGTACATGTACATGTATATGTATATTTATATGTATATGTATATGGATATGCATATGCATATATATATATATATATGTATATGTACATGTACATGTACATGTATATGTATATGTATATGTATATGCATTTGTATGTGTATGTGTATGTATATGTAGATATACACCGCTAGAGTCCCCCCGAAGAAACACCCCATAAGAGTAACGGGAGAAATTCACGACATCGGCTCACCTCAGCAGAAAGGTGGCGCAGGGTGGTTCCCTTTGCGCACAACAATCGGTTTTTTGGGGAACCCCCCAAAAGTGACGATTTGCTACTAAAATGGTACCCCCCAAAGAACCTATATGACATATTGTTGGCTTGAGTTTTTCTGAACATATTCACTTGAATTGAAGATGTACATTAACCGAAACGAGAAGATCTGACATAGGTGAGGGCCTGGCTTTGGGGTTGGGAGCTAACTTTGCCAACATATCTCAATTGACTGTGGCCACAGTGAAAAATGCAAGAAATCGATGCGGCGTTCTTTGAATCCAAAACCACAGCTTTGAACAAGATTATTGACAATTGTTTTATGCCCCTCAAAAAACAAAACACAGCAAAACATGTTGTTTTTTGCCGCAAATTTTGGGCAGCCCTAAAATCAATTCAAAATTGGCTGGTTGAAAAATGTCAGCCCTAGATTTAAAAAAAACTGGCTGCTGCAGGATGGCAATGTGCTTCGGTTCTGCACTGACCAGTTGCGAGACGATGAAGTGGTGGCGTACGCTGCAGTCACACAGTGACTTGGGTCCAGTGGGTGAATTTGATATGGGGGAAGTGTGTGGAACTCTGGCGAACTTTTCTTTTAAACATCAACGACTTGTTGGGAGCTCCAAGAAAAATATGGGAACTAAGAACGGAAGATTACCCTCTGGTAAACTAACATAGCTATTGAACATGGCCATTTATAGTTGATTTACCTATTGAAAATAGTGATTTTCCACAGTCATGTTAGTTTACCAGAGGGTATGATTGATTTGATAGATTTTATTTTTCGCCGAGTCGCCGAGGACTTGGCGCGCCTTGGAATTTGTGTCACAACGTTTGAAAGGTGAGGAAGATTTGGTGCCTGGGTACTGATCTGGCGCTACCGGCTGTGGCTACCTGCCCCCAAAATCCAATGGCTTGTCGGGAAACATTTGATGCCCATACCGTACCTCTTGCGGTCGAAGTTCTAAGGAAGATTTACAGTTGAAAGAAACAACTCCATATTTGGCTGGTTTTTTGCTACGGCTTTCCTGTGGATTTTCCCTTAAGCCAATCCAATGATCAAAGGCATTTGTTTCTGTTGGATTGCACTCCCAGTGCCACTTTGACCCTTCCAGAAATATCCGGTAATCCAACTAAGAATAGCCCAGGTGGACCTGGCTTTCAAGCAGGACCGGATGAAGGGCGCTGCTGGGCATCATGCTTGCGTATGCAACGTTTAAAGCATGGAGATGTGTAAAACAGTCTGTGAAGAGATGGTGTTTGAGCATATTGAAACCTTGATCTGAAATTTTGGGAATTCTGTGATGACTCTTCGATCTAGTTACTAGTTTGGCTCAGGACAATTGTAGGTGACACTCTAGTTCTCCAAGTGGGAATAATTCCTGGGCGGCCATCCTGCGGGTCAAACTGGGTGACAGAAAATCTAGTCCCTTTTGTCATGTTTCACCATGGAATCTTCGGGGCGATAATATATTGTTTCTATATACTCGATCGACTCGCCAATTCTGGTGACATCTCCATTCTACTTGGTGACATCTCCCTTCTTTCTAGTGTAAAATCCCATTTTTGCTTGAAGTCATGTAACATCCACATTTTTCACAGGCGCAACTCTTTGAACAACTCCCAGTTTTTGACAGGGACACTCCCATTTTTATCAATGTTTCCTGATTTTTACAGATTTTTCTATGGATCGCCTCCCTTTTTATTGACCTTTCTTCGACGGCGGCCAGGAGGGTCTGGCGCTGCAACACGCCGCGCCGGCGCTCCGTGCGCAGCCGCTGGTCGTGATGCGAGCGATGAAGCGACGCTTGGATGAGCGGATTTTATGGGTGAAGTGCTGATTGGGTTTACGCCAGTTGATAACAATTGGATACAAACATTGGAATTTTACTCAGTATCAATGTATTTTATCATTGCTATTGGAATAGTTGATGATTGGATTTTTGAGGCATTGAAACACCATTGATCATTATCGTTGTTGGAATAATAATTGTTCAATGGTATATTATTGGATCATTGTTGTTGGAATACAATTGATAATTTGATTTTATGTTGTTTTCCCATTGAGTTCATCAGAGTGATTTTTTCCACTACGACTCGGGAATCTTTTTGGTTTTTTTCACTTTTTTTTTTTTGGTATCCCTTAAGCAAATCCAAGTTATTGGACAGCCAAAAGAGCGAACTTTTGGCCAATTTTGACGAAATAGGGCAGGGAAAACCTCGGATTACCATATTTCCCCGTATCACTATGTGGGGTTCTAACTTTTTGTTCCACATCCGCCTCCGTCCGCCTCCGTCCGCCTCCGTCCGCCTCCGTCCGCCTCCCGCCGTCTATCTCTTGTCTCTATCAACTTGTCTCTATAAACTTGTCTCTATCCACTTGTCTCTATCAATGACTGTAGAGGCTCTGGCCGCTGGACGCCGGCCTATCTATCTGTCTATCTGTCTATCTGTCTGTCTACCTATCTATCTATCTATCTGTCTGTCTATCTATCTACCTATCTATCTATCTGCCCGTCTTTCTGTCTGTCTGTCTATCTATCCACCTAGCTCTTTCCCATCCAGTCATCATCTGCTCTCACCATCCCAAGTCATCACCTTCGTCTCATAACAATCGGAAGGCTTAACATGTGGGGATATCTGATCTTTTAATTTTGGGAATAAACATCCATTTACCAGCTTTCATAGGGTACCTAGGGTACCAGGGTTTTGAATCATAGCCAAATCCCTATTTTTCGCGGATTGAATCCCAAATTTGGCTGGAACATCCATGTTTTGGATTGAAGTTGTCCCAAGTTTTGCTGGTTCTTTTTTTTTTGAGTTTCTCATCAGCAGCACTAATGGGTCGATTTTGTTAGCCAGAAATGAAGAGATGGTGGAGAGAATTGTAGCTTTAGGTGAAAAGATGAGGATTTTTCAGCAAGAGAAAGACACTTTCGGCAACATGGAGTTTCGAACCAACTGAAATGACATATCAAACATGGGTGGAGGATTTAGAGATCTATGAACGGGTTAGTTAGTTAGTTTCACTTAGTGTTTTGGCATCCACTGGCTTGTCTCACAAAAGCCGAGAAAAATTCTTGAGCCCTCGACCTTTGAACCATTTTGAACCTGGAAGGTGTGATCCAGGAGCCACCGACTTACCGACTGGGTGGAAACCATTTTTTGGGTTAACATTTGAAGGATGATAACTTGATAACCAACACATCAATGGCTTGATTTCTAGCCATAAATGGAGAATAGCCAACCAAAATTTTTGACACTAAAATCACGAGATGTTTCGGAATTTTGACACTAAAATCACCAGATTTTCCAAAAATTATCAGTTCCAGTGGTAAACCTCAGCCTGTCAGCCCAGTCTCCTCCAAGGCAATGCCGCAGCATTCCACTTCGCAGATCGACATCTCCACATGGAGAGGGCAAGTGGAGATGGGACCTTCTGAGGATAGTGAAGTTGCTTTATGGAGATATAAGTGAGATGTAAGTTGAACTAGGTGTATAAGTTGGTTAGCTATAACTGGATAAACCGATAGTTGAACTATAACTATTAGTTGGTTAGCTATAACTAGGTTTGCAAGTTGATTAACTATATAATTTTTTAGGGGGGATATAGATATAACTATAGTTAATGGGATGAAACTAAACCAGCTTGTAACTGGGGACCTCACCTTGATGTGGCACCTGGTTTTCCAGCTACCTATGGCAAAACCATCCAAAACCTCCGAAGGCTGCTGGGCTAAGGCGGCTAAGGTACAATCAGAATGCTAGAAGCTTTCACCCATTTTTTGCCAGGACACGGCCTTCTGGGAACGCCTGAGCCGTCACTTCCCCACGGCCTGGCTTCGATGGATGCGCTATGGCCGCTGGCCGGGCGAGATTGGGTACCGGCCAAACAAGCCGAGCCCAGGCTTTTGAGCGGCCAAAAAACGGTGCTGCGGCTGCGGGCTGGTAGAATTTTTGGGCCCAAAACTGTCAGCCTAAGACACCTCGAAGATGTCCTGGGTCAGCAGTGGGGCTGGACTGGGACGCAGAAATGACATTGACCGAGTGCCCATGATATACCTGTGTGCTGAGCTGGTGGTTTCTTGTCCTCATCCCCAAAATTGGACCTTTGCGAATGGAAAACGGGAGGGCTCATCGAATCGGAAAGTGACTGTAGCTTCGCAGCTCCGACCCAGCCGCCTGGTGCCCCGTGCCCCGTGCCCGTGTGATTCGCGTTTGGTTTTGGTCATGGCGGAGGCTTGGTGGGGGCGAACTTGAAGATCACCAAAGATTGAAAGGATAGGCAGAAGGTGGGGATTTCACTAAAAGGAGAACAAGCAGCACCAGGTCAAGGAAGATTAGCCGACTTAACCTACAAACATGTGGTTTTCGCACGGTTTGACCAACGAACTAGTGCAAAACGCCAATGCAAGGACGTGGGTCAAAGCTGTTCAACAATGAAGTATGTAATTTTAGGGATTTCTGAGTCATACCAATATGGGTATGGATCAATACCTATTAATACCATTTTTAGTGGGATGAACATCCATAAATCCCAGCTATTTTGATGTGAACTACAGGGGTACTATTGGTTTTGACACAGTGCCATATGATCTCCAAAATGAGTGGAAGATGCCAGACTGGTAGATGATTTACTGAGCACCCCGCATGTTTTCTTTTGATATACTGTATAACTATTGCATCGTTTATGGGAGGATGCAGGCAATATTCTTCCATCTATGTATCAACCAACGGTTAACCCAGGATTCCCTCCCTGGATATTCCCAGGAATCCAAAGTACCAGTGAAAACCACCAGCTCTTGGGCGACATCAAAATCATCAAACCCATAAATGATCATAGCTTTGGGAGGAAGAACATCCATGATATCCATGGAATTTGAGGTACCCTCTGGTAAACGTTTACACATAACTATGGAAAGATCCACCATGCTATGAAAATGGGAAAATCCACTATTTCTATGGTCATTTTCAACAGCAAACTAGCTTTTTGTATGTTTACCAGAGGGTATTTTGCTGCGAACAGCATGGGATTCTGCAGATTCCATAGGTGAACCATGGTGAACCGACCCAGATCGCCAGATGTCAAGGAGACCATGCCGCATGTCATGCCTGCGCTGCTCAGCGGCGCGCAGCTCTCTCACTTACAGGCGCAGGCGAGGCGATGTTTTTTCCGACAGCAACCTGTGGATTTGAAACATATGATGGCATACATACACCGAACGTGCAAGATTTTCCAGAAGATGTTTGGACACTGCACAACAAACAATTGGGACATTTCGCAAAAATCAGAAAAGATACCAACAATTGGGACAATAATTGTATATAATTGTGCGCAAACTGAAGCGACAAACATGGATATTTTTCATCAGCAACAGACAAACGGACAACCATCAATTGATTGCCTGTCTGGTTGGTCAATTTCTCCCTTAAAAAAGGCCATCCAGGAACCGAATCCGGACCGTTGGGACCGTTAGGACATCATCTTTTTCTGTTGGGTTTTATTCAGTGCAACGATCCCATCATGCTAGAACCATGTGGGTGGTTCAAAAACCATGGGGCTACCCCTAAAAAAAATCCAACACATGTTCGACCAAATGTGAGTATTGAAACAATTGAAACTCGTGAAAAACATGGCATTCCCCTAACATGATATTTCTGTTGGGGTTTCACCAGCATTTTTCTTGGTATTACCATGACATTCCACTGAACAAATCCCCATTTTTAATGGTGAATTATATCATCCCGTAGAATCAAAAAGGTCATTTAATCCCCAATGGCTTTTAGCTAAATATGGGATATATGGGTAAAGAGCCAGCATTTTTCTGTGGTATTCTACCACCATTTGGTGAGAGTTCACCACACGAGGAGACCTTGGGCACAGCGCAACTGCGGGAGGCCGTGAAGTGTCCCCCCAGTGTGGACGAGGCATGGTGGGATGGGGATGGCGGACCCCAGATTTTCGCAGCAGAGATTTCTATAGTTAGGAAGATCTCGATTCCTAGGACCCGATTCGATTTTTGCAGAAGATAGAGAGGTCATTCCGAGTCATTCCATTTTTTCAGTGGGTTCGAAGATGTTCGAAGTATCCCAGAAACAGGAAGCAGTGAAATGAAGTGGGATGATGATTCCAAGGAACATCTTGCTCCAAAGCACGTTTGGCCTGTGAGAAGTTCAGGGGGTATCACTTGGGTATTTTCTGGAGTCTCCGGAGGGGACGAAGCAGCAAAAATTTGGGCTGTGTGGGATCACCACTACCATCGCTCCGAAATCTCACTGGTGGGCTGATTGGTAATTCAGGACATCATCATTTGTAGAGGATATATATATGTATATATATATGTATGCATTATATATTCATATATATATATGTATGCATTATGCCTCTAAGACTCTAAGATGGTCGATGCCACCATTTTTGGTGGTTCAATTTGGTAAATATGCCCCATTTCAATTTTTGCAAAGAAAGGATTGCATTTTCGGGACGTGTCATTGCGAAAAAACGAGGAGACGTGGATTGCCTCACAGATGAAGGAGATCTTTCTGGAGACCCGCTGGGGATGGGGGAGCCTCCAGAACAGAAGTAAAAACTCAAACAAGGAACTATTCTTGACATGTCATAACCAAAAAGACTAAAACTGGCATCTTGATGTCTATGGGCTTGGCGATTCGCATTTGGGCTGATCACCTCCCAAGGCCTCTAAGTACCATTCACATTAAATGACCCTCTGGTGATTTGACGTAGCTTTTTGGAACATCAACTCTCTTCAATAGCTAAATCATCATTTTCATCATCTATAAATCATCTATAAACAGTTCAATCTATAAATCATCTATAAATGGTTCATTTTCCATATCAATAGCCAGAGTTAATCATCATTTTTACTTTATCTATCTATCGATCTATCTATCGATCTATCTATAAATGGTCCATGGCTTCCAGAGGGTCGCCGTGGCCCGCGACAGGAGGTGGTCCGCATGGTGCACTTCTTGACCTCCTTCTGTGATGACACCACCTGCCCCAGGATGTGTGCAGGTGCTAAGAAAGAGTTTGCCCCAGGGATGAGACCATGAAAAATGGCCTTTAAAAAAAAATGGCCCGGTAAAGATATGAGATATAGATCTGATTGGTAAAGATATGAGATCTATGAGGTTTGACAAACCTGAGGTTTGACACTTTTGAATACTTTTGAACCATGAAAAATCCATGAACATGTGAAGATTTTTAAGGGGATAAGTTCAATTTTTGAGCCGCGATGGTGGCATGTTTTTGGGATTCCGAGATGGAGTGAACAAAAAGTGCCACCAAGGATGTGGATGATGTAAAATCCGATGGTTTCAGCATCCAGAAATATCTGACCTCAAAAGCCATGGCTGGAATCATGGGATGCGGGGAACCATTCCCAACCCGAAGATTTCAGCTTAGTGACATATTGATTACCCTCTGGTAAACTAACATAGCTATTGAAAATGGCCATTTATAGTGGTTTTTCTTTAATGGTGATTTTCCATAGCTATGTTAAATTACCAGAGGGTATTACAATTTACCCAGATTGATCCACTTTCATCAATGGTTCCTGAGTTTTTTTTGGTCATTTTTCCATTAAAAAAAACAGGCCATCGAGAGAGGTAACTCACCGGCCATCGGGGGCCGAGGCGATGCGGAGTACAAGTGGGCCGAGGTGGATGGCAGCGTCAGCTGGATGTTGGTGAAGCCCAGGATGAAAATCGCTACAAAGAGGAGTTGACTCATTCCGAATAGTACTGGGTATCCCGATTTTTCTGGTTTTTGAGTTTTTTTTTTTGGTTTTTGTTTTGTTTTGAGAGTTGGTCAGAGTGAACATATAGCTCACATGCTGGATAGTTCGATATTTTATGGCTCTTTAAAGATCTGAGTTCCGGAAAATTACCCTCTGGTAAACATACAAAAAACTATGGAAAATCACCATTTTCAATGGGAAAATCCACTATAAATGGTCATTCTCAATAGCTATGTTAAATTACCAGAGGGTAGGTCTTAAACTGTGAGATCGAATGGTGACAGCCTGTGTTTTTGGAGGCAAAAATGATGGGAGAATTTTCAGAGACCGAGGCCGGCAGCGCGATACATGTCGCGACTCATTGAGGACGTGGATCAAAGGTTGATCGACCAGGCAGCGACGATAGGTGGAGATGGGAAAACCTATGGGAAAATCTATGGAAGATGGGATCTATATAGGAAAATCTATGGGATTTGGGATGGTATTTGATGTGGTATCTATATCAGTTTTTTTTTTTCGTAGCCATGGGAATGTAAGAGGGACGGAATATTACTGGATGAATTGCAATGACCTAAGTATCTGAGATTGAGGTTTCCATAGTCATGGGGATACCCCAATAGTTTCCCATTTATGGGAACGCTCATATGGACTGACACGGGTATTTTTTTTTCAAGGGTCGGAAGGGAGGGCAGCTTCCACTCCTAGATGCGCACAATGAATCCCGGTCTGTTACGCATTTTTGGGAGCTTGCTAGGTGTGATTGTTTCGTTTACTTGAGATCAAGCATAAAAGTGGTATTAACCATCATTATCCATCATTAACTCATCATTATCCATCATTAACCATCATTCTGCTGAAAGTTGCAAATTGTGAGTCCGACGAAAAATTCTGAAAGGTCGGTAGATTCGTTTTAGATTGTTCCCAGGATTTCATTTTGTATTCCACCAAGATCTTTCCCCAAATTTCCCCAGAACATCCCAGTGTCCGACTATCCAAACTTTGGGGCTTCAACAGTTCAACATCACTGATAAATCCATGAGAGTGAATACTGATGAATCAACCGGCTGGACAATGAATCAATTGGGTATGGGTCAATACCTATAGATACATTTTTAGTGGGATGAACATCCATTTACCAGCTATTTTGGGGTTCACTAGGTACCAGGGTTTTGACACATCCCCAATTCACGGATATCCAAAGAGGTGATGCTGCGATGCAAACGCTCCCCGAAAGGTCGAGAGATAAAAACGATCATCCTTTGTAGATTTGGTGATGGCCATTTGCGTTTGCGGATTCCACCAAGATCTCTTCCCCTTTTTTTGGACCTCCTGGCATTTTCCAGCTGAAAATGAGATGTTTGTAGAGGATCTACTGAATCCACTCATTTTTCTGCTGAACCCCACTCGAGTGACGAGTTAAAACTCACTTACCCCGTCATTTTGCCTATCAGGACATGGATGGGGTTTCAATATGTTTTAGTTTCAATCGATTTTTTGTTTTTTTTCATGGTGTATAGATAGAACATTACATCAACAAACCCATCAAGAGATGGTTGTTTGTCATTCAACGAAAAAAACACATGGAAAAAAAACAAAATTGAAACTTAAAAAACCCCCAAAAACTGGTTATCTGGTTGTTGTCATCAACCACCCATGACTTAAAATACCCACGTGACTTAACGACGTCCCGTTGTGTCCCGCAACGTTGGTCGCCCAGAGCCTGATTCCCACGGATGGGTCGCCCATGCCGCGGCACCTGCGGGGCGAGTTGGAGACGATGCTGCGGCGCCTCTTCCGCGCCTGGGCGTTATATTATGACCATGGATCAATACCTATACCCTCTGGTAAACTAACAGTTTGCTATTGAAAATGACCATTTATAGTGAGTTTTCTCATTAAAAATGGTGATTTTCCATAGTTATGTGGCTGTTTACCAGAGGGTACCAGTTTTAGAGGGATGAACATCCAACATCATCCAGCTATTTTGATGTGAACATTGAACAGTACAAGGTCCAAGGTTTTGACCCATCCCTATATATATATTATATATACATATGTAATAGCATCAATAGCATTGTATCAATACTAACATGATCACACACCATTAATTATAGTTTTCAATCAACACTTCTTGAACATTATATATATATACATACACACCATTGCTTGTCTATTCTGATTGCATTATTGTGATTATTATCGTTACCATAGTTCTCTCTAGTTATTATGATCATTATATATTATCCCTTTCCCCCTTCATATTAAACACCCCCAAACGAAACCATTGTTTGGTAGGGGATGCACACTTATTGGGACCATTCAGGGGGTGTTTAATATTAGGGTGATGGCATCAAGTTATATACAATACCTTAATATACCATAGAAATCACGAAAGGTAGCGTCAGCTACCTGAGTTCTCCGTGCTGCAGCACAATCATAGGGGGTATTCGGGGGCCAGCCCGTGGAATTCATGGAATTCTCGCCGTTATGTATTGGATATCAATTATAAGGGGGGGGGCCCCTCTAAAATGGTCATGGGTTCAATTCCCACGGGTGACGCGGTCACGGGCCCCCACATTAGAGGCACACTTTCCATGAGGGAGATGTCCCTGTAGTCCAGCATAATTGGTATGCTTCAGCCTCAATAACAGTTGCTGCAAGGGGTCTTAAAAAGGGGTTTTAAATAAACCCCTTTTCGTGCATCATTTCACGCTGCACAAGACACCGTATCATGCAGTCATGCTCTGGATAAAATCATCTTAGACTGCGCAAAAACGTTTTTGGTGTATCATCTTAGGGGCGCAGCATTTTGACACCACTCCTCTCCCACTACACTACCTTTCGTCCGCCTCCGCCTGCTCTCAAGTTTGAATAGCACTATCAAAAACCATATCATAGTTCTATGAATACTTATTGGTTATAAAACACTATTATAGTTATAGGTATAGCTATATTGGCTATACTTATTCATTGGTTATTAAAAAAAACATATTCTGGTTACACATCCTCATTTCATAAATCCTTTTATCAAGTCTTGGGGATCTATAAGCAAAATGGTGATTTGTTGTTGGGAATCCATGGGTGATATATATATATATATTATACGTATAGATTTTAATAGGCTTGATCTTCAGTGTCATCAAGCATGACTAGCCGGGAACTCCGCTAGAAAAGGGCATTTCCTGTTGGAAAATCATGGAACAAAATCGGAGCCATGGGAGTTCGGAGCCATAAAAAATCCATGTGTTTTGGCATGTTTTTTTGGATCCAAATGGCCCAAGAGATCCAAGAGATCCTGAAAAAAAGGAAAAATTCCCCTGCGACATCTGGTTGGCAGGTGTTTATGCACATGCGTTTCTGGGCGAAAGTCCGTGGGGGGAGACCCCCATGGCTCAGTTTTTTTGCAAAGAATTTTCCAGCTGACCCCTGAGAATCATGGTGACTACGATGCGTTGACCACTGCTAGTAGAGTAGTCAGCAGAATTTCAAGAAAAGGAAGCACGATGAATCATGAGTGTTTCTTGTCATTTGTGCCCTAGTGTTGTTCCTCATATTCAGGTCATTGTAATGATTCCAGCATTTTCATTGATTCAGCAATCTTCTTAGTAGTCCCACAACATTGTGCCCTATGAAGAAACTTGTCCATTGTGTTGCCGTGACATGTGATTGTATCCCAACGTATTCGGACCGCTTTGTTCTCTGCTGCGGGTTCTAATGTTTTATTGTGTTATCATTGGGTTAAGCACCCGCACAACCAGTAGGTCCTACAGTAGATCCCAAGTTTCTCCAGGTGTGGTCCCCAAAGAACTGTTGGATGAATGGCAATGAATAGCCAACTCACCGACTGATTGCCGCATAGATGATGGCTTATGTATGGCATTTCAACCATAGCCCAAGAAATCATATTTGTGACTTGAGATGTATGCCCGGGAATCCAGCCAACTGGCCAATAGTTCGCATTTGGCCTTCAGATCAATGGTCTGGTTTAGGGGAACATAGCAAGGCTCCCATGTGTTTTTGACCAGTAAATTTCTTGGCCTTTCCGGCCGAAAAAATCTTGGAGCCCATCGTTTGGGCTCGTCATTTTGAATCATCCCATGCCGAGGGGGAAGATTTTTTCGCCATCAAAAATGGTTGGACATTTGGAGATATGGGTATGGATCAATAGCTATGAAAATACCGTTTTTAGGGGGATTAACATCCATAAATCCCAGCTATTTTGATGTGAACTACAGGGGTACTATTGGTTTTGACACACTGCCATATCCTTCATTTATTTTGGGTCCATTTCCCCATCTTTTCCTCATTTCCATGGAAAAAAGGTGGGGAGCTGCCGGCAGGTATATCCACCACTTCCGCACCATCCAGGAGTGCGGCGCGGAAGCGCATGTGAATTGCTGCTCGGTGGAAGGATCGACTCGGGATGACGGACCGAGTTCTTCGGTCCGATGGTCCAATGGTGATGGGAGACCCCAGCAAGATGACTGGTTGGTGACTGGAACATGACTTTTATTGTTTCCATGTATTGGGAATAATAATCCCAACTGACGAACTCATAGTTTTCAGAGGGGTTGAAACATTTGAAACCACCAATCAGATGATGGTTTTGGGATGTTTTCGGGGGAAGAAAACTCAAGTTAAGACACAGCCATGTGGGTCAAGATGCGCAAGCACCACGGTGAAGAAACAGAAGATGAGAAACCAAGAAGCAAATTATGTGACATAGCTATCAAAAGATGATCAAAAACGAATATGTAAGATTATGCAAGGGCATAAGACCTACAACACATAAGGACATAAGGATATGACTTCGTCTAAACTTAAGGACTCCAAATTCCATCGAGTTCCCTGGTGATTTTCAGAGGGGGTATCACCTTGTATCACCCATTTTCTTGGACATTGCCTTTATTGCCACGAATTTTCTTCATTGCTACTATGCCAATGTTTAAGAGTTGCTTGGGCTTTTTGCCTCCTGTTGAGGGGCCCCTGTTTTGAAACTTGCGGCTTCCGGATGGATGGTTCACAATGAGCAATCCCATTTTCCATGGATTGAAAGCGCCATTTCCGAAGGCAGCTTCAAGCACTTCCTTTTCTTTGTCTTGGAGTATCTCGGTGAATCTTCGGGCGTCCAGGGTTTTTCAATGGCCGACGGGAAGCCAGGGCGGTGTCTCCGCCAGGGCTTGGTTCTGTCTGGATTCACTGGCCGTTTTGGGTACGTATTCACCTTTCAATGTTTGAGGTATTTCGGTGTTTCTTAGTGGGACTTTGAGGTATTTCGGTGTTTTCTTAGAATTTAGTTTTGATTGTTTTTCCCAAAAGCATCTCCGATGCTAGGGTTCTCGTTAGGTTGCTTCGCCGTGGGGGGAGCGAGACTGAAGCGTGGACGGACAGGACACCATGCGAAATAGTTTCGGGAGAGACAGGAAGCCGTGGGAAGCTAGGCTCTGTGAGGATCTCAACGCGCAGGGAGCGCCTGGTGAGAGGGAGAAAAAAAAGGAAATTAAAAAAAGGGTTTACGAGAGCTCGACGATCTATATACTGTAGCCACGACATCACCAAGGCAGGAGCAGACCCATCGAAACAGTGCTCCATTTGCTGCCTGAGGAAACCCCGCCACACCGCGGCGCCTTCCCGGAGGCAGAGGCCCCGAGCCACTGCTTGCCCCCGAGCTGATTCTTCTCCTTCTGGCAGGTCCCGGCCAGCACTCCGAGCACAACAGCGTCAGCGGAAGTCGCGGCCTCAAGGAGAGCACCACGGAAACCAAACGAACAAACATCTTGAAGTTCGGCTGCCGCAACTGAACGCAGCCGAGGCCAACCAGAATGACCTGGTGCCGTCAGTGTGCATATGCTTGACTTCGCTGACCAAGGGCAAAATCATCAATTGGAAGGAATTGGACATTGAAGTGCTGCGGGCTTTCTGTATCGACGTCGACGACATTCAAGAAGCTGCGTCGTTGTTGGATTCGCTCAACAATCTGGCCAATGATGAGGAGAAAAGGGCTGAAGAGGACCCGGGCTCCCTTACATGTCTCTCTTACATGTCTCTGTTACATGTCTCTGTTACATGTCTCTCTTACATGTTTTTCTTACATGTCTCTCTGATATGTCTCTCTTACATGTCTCTCTTACATGTCTCTGTTACATGTCTCTCTTACATGTCTCAATTACATGTCTCTCTTACATGTCTCCCTTACATTTATCTCTTATATGTCTCTCTTACGTGTCTCCCTTACATGTCTCTCTTATATGTCTCCCTTACGTGTCTCTCTTAAGACTCTTATATGTCTCTCTTACGTGTCTCCCTTACATGTCTCTCTTATATGTCTCCCTTACGTGTCTCTCTTACATGTCTCTCTTACATGTCTCTGTTACATGTCTCTCTTACATGTCTCTCTTACATGTCTCTCTTACATGTCTCTCTTACATGTCTCTCTTGTTTGTCTCTCTTACATGTTTCTCTTACATGTCTCCCTTACATGTATCTCTTATATGTCTCCCTTACGTGTCTCTCTTAAGACTCTTATATGTCTCTCTTACGTGTCTCCCTTACATGTCTCTCTTACGTGTCTCCCTTACATGTCTCTCTTATATGTCTCCCTTACGTGTCTCTCTTACATGTCTCTCTTATATGTCTCTCTTACATGTCTCTCTTACATGTCTCTGTTACATGTCTCTCTTACATGTCTCAATTACATGTCTCTCTTACATGTCTCCCTTACATTTATCTCTTATATGTCTCTCTTACGTGTCTCCCTTACATGTCTCTCTTATATGTCTCCCTTACGTGTCTCTCTTACATGTCTCTCTTTTATGTCTCTCTTACATGTCTCTCTTATTTGTCTCTCTTACATGTCTCTCTTACATGTCTCTCTTACATGTCTCTCTTGTTTGTCTCTCTTACATGTCTCTCTGATTTAAAACCAAATTGTTTACTCTAACTTGTCTTGAATTTAACCTTGTTACAGTGCTTTTTCTTTCACTAAAATGGACTTGTTCTCCTAACTTGTTTTGAAATTCAGCCTGTTTCTTTAATGCTAGTTTTATCAAAGGAAGTTGGGAAGCAATACTTCCATGTTACGGACAAATAGAATTCTGAGACTTGAAATGATGAAGGGTGGTGCGCGAGTGAGACTTGACCTTGATGAAGGGTGGTGTGCGACTTTACACTACACTACAATACATCAGGAAAGAACTGACTTTGATGAAGGGTGGTGTGCGACTCTACATTACATAACAATACATCAGGAAAGAACTGACTTTGATGAAGGGTGGTGTGAGACTCTACATTACATAACAATACATTAGGAAAGGACTGACTTTGATGAAGGGTGATGTGAGACTTTACATTACATAACAATACATCAGAAAAGAACTGACCTTGATGAAGGGTGGTGTGAGACTCTACATTACATAACAATACATTAGGAAAGAACTGACTTTGATGAAGGGTGGTGTGCGACTCTACATTACATAACAATACATCAGGAAAGAACTGACTTTGATGAAGGGTGGTGTGAGACTCTACATTACATAACAATACATTAGGAAAGGACTGACTTTGATGAAGGGTGATGTGAGACTTTACATTACATAACAATACATCAGAAAAGAACTGACCTTGATGAAGGGTGGTGACGATGGGAAGTGGTGAGGAAGGGAAGTGTTGCATGGGCTTTGGTTTGGGGAGGAAGCCGGAGCACGAAACCTTGTATTTTTCCGTGTAAAGTGGCTGCAGCCGACGATGAAAGGTAGCTCCTCTGTGCGGCGGGTGCGGCTGCGGTCGTTTTGGTTCCTCCTCTTGTGTTTTGCAACGAGTGGTTGTTCCTGTGTGCGTAGTTCTATTCGATTCTTGAATCTCTGGTTGCAGATCGCAGTGAAAGGGCTGCGTCAAGGATGGTTGTTGCCGCGGCTGCATGCGTAATACTATTGTCTTCTGCAGCTGAAGATCGTAAATCGTATTGGAGTGGGTGCATCAAGGCTGCGACAGTGATTAATAGCAGTACTGGGAAGTGATTCATGAAAGCTTAGATGACATATGAGAAGAGATGAGCTGGGATAAGGTGAGAAGAGCTCAGATGAGATGAAGTGTGGAGTGCGAAGAGTGCAGTGTGAAGTGTGGGGTGTGAAGAGTGCAGTGTGAAGTGTGAAGTTTGGAGTGTGAAGGACGCAGTGAGAAGTGTGAAGTGTGGAGTGTGAAGTGTGGAGTCTTGAGAGTGCAGTGTGAAGTGTGTAGTGTGGAGTGTGAAGACTGCAGTGAGAAGTGCGAAGTGCGAAGTGCGAAGTGGAGCTTCAAATGTGACATGTGAAACAAGACACCAGTTTCGCAGAGTGCACGCACGCACGGGCTTGGCTGGCGCACGGCGCATGCAAGTTCTATAGATGAGAAAGGTATATATATATATGTATACATATATATGTATATATATATATATTATATCCCTAAGGCAACTTCCGCCCCGCCTCGTGCGGGTACTACTGGTAATTTAATTCAATTGACCTGCAAGGTCATTTTTAAATAGAAACTCATTAAACTCAAAACTTATCTTGTCTTAACCTTTACCGCCCTCAAAATTTTATTTTTTTCATTTTTCCTCCTTTTCCATCGAAAAGAAATCAGACAGATAAATCTAAACCCCACCTTTCCGGACACCATTTCAGTTTTACTGACAGTGATGTTTTTTTCCCCCTCAAAGTGAAAAAATGCAATACCCTTAGTAAACCACAACTCGTGACACGATTCAAAGGTAAATGCATGATGAAGGTGGTTCTGATGATGACGATTTTCAATATCCTAGTCATCACCATCATCACATCCCATCGCCATCTCATCAAATCCTTCCTTTTCCAGCCCATCCCTGCCCTGTCACCTTGACATACTCATTCAGGACTTCAAGCAAAAACTCGGTCAGATGGAAAGAAGGGCAGGGCAGAAGCAAACAGGAAAGACGGGGAAAAGAAGCAACAGGTCAGGAAAGCAAAGACGCTGAGGCTTCAAGGAGCTGCCGAGAGATCTTGGAGGCACGGCTTTGTAGGTCAAGGAGTCAAGCACTTCAGTAGCTCCAAACTTTCATTTTCTATGAATTGTCGAAGGAAGTTTAGAAGTCAAACTTCCGACAATATGGACAGATGAAAAGCAGGGCAGGGCAGAGGCAGAGAGAAGAGAAAGATTAGAAGAAAGAAGAGTAGAAGAGAAAGAGTAAGAAGAAAGAAGATGCAGATGCGAGAAAAGGTAGGAAAGTCGCGAAACGCTGCGTTTTTCCATTGATTTGTGGCTCCGGAGGGTCGAAAAGTAGGCTCGCTAAAGCGGCGGGTGCGGAGCCAGCTGGCCAGATGAGAGATGACAAATTGCACGCCGTTGTGGCGCGAAGCACATTTCAAAGTCAAAATGTACAAAGCACCTCAGCTCCGGACCGCTTTTGGAAGTCGAGATGTCGAAAAAGTGCACGCCGTTGTGGCGCGAAGCACGTTTTGAAGTCAAAATGTACAAAGCACCACATGTTCGCGCCTTTTGGAGGTTCAGATGTCGAAAAAATGCATGCCGTTGTGGCGCCAAGCACATGTCGAAGTCAAAATGTTAAAAACACCAGGGGATCGGACCACTTTTGGAGGTTCAGATGTCGCTTCGCTTCGCTTCACTCCATTACACTACACTACATTGCACTACACTACATTCCACAACACTACAACTACGCTAAATTACACTACACTACACTACATTCCACTACATTACTTTCCACTACACTTCACTACATTACAGTACAACTACAACTACACAACTACACTCCACTACATTCCACCACACTCGGCTACACTAAGTTACACTACACTACATTACATTAAACTACACTACGCTCCACTACACTACTTTACACCATCTGTTTTCTCCTCAGTCAAACAGACCTCAATTACAGACTGACGCAAGAAGAACCCAAAAAACATGGATAGATTGCAGGCACGGAAGCATCATGCGATGGATAGCAACACGTCACAAATCCCGAGGACGAGGAGCTCCAGGCCGACCTCAACGCATCGGGCTTAGCAGAGCACCGGAGAGAAAGAGAAAATGAAAGAGACAGAAAAGAACAGATCTGCACACAAACAG